CCTTCATCATATTTCTTCTCAAACTTGCTCAATCTAGTGCATTTCTTCAATATATAGCATTTACAACCAAAAACCCAAAAATATACAATATTGGGCTTTCTACCATTCAAGAGCTCATATGATATCTTCCATCATGGGATGACAATAGAGTCGGTTGCTATAGTGGCGAGCCATGTTGATTGTTTTGGCACAAAATGAATGACTCATATTGTACTCACTCAACATTGATCTTGCCATGTCAATCAAAGTTCTATTCTTCCTCTCAACTAGGCCATTTGATTATGGAGTGTACTTGGCCGAGAATTGATGTCTAATTCTAAACTTATCACAAAGCTCATCAACTCTTGTATTCTTGAACTCACTACCATTATCACTTCTTACTTTCTTGATGAGTGTTTCAAACTCATTGTGTATTCTCTTAATGAATGTCTTGAAGGTTACAAACACATCACTCTTATCAACAAGAAAGAACATCCAAGTGTATCTAGTAAGATCATCCACTATTATAAATCCATATTTATTTTCACCAATGCTAGTATAAGTGGTTGGTCCAAATAAGTCCATGTGCAACAACTCAAATGCCTTAGATGTGCTTATCATGCTCTTCTTATGATGTGTGTTACCAACTTATTTCCTGCTTGACATGCACTACATAGCTTATTCTTCTCAAATATAATATCTTTCAAGCCTCTAACTAGATTATGCTTAATCAACTTGTTCAATTGTTTCATTCCAACATGACCAAGCCTTCTATGCCATAACCAACCCATGCTAGACTTAGTGAGCAAACATGTTGACAATTGAGCTTCTCTAGTATTGAAATCCACCAAGTATAGATTCTCATATCTAAATCCTTTGAATATCAAGTTAGAGCCATCTACACTTATGATCTCTACATCATCCACACCAAATATGCATTTCAAACCAAGATCACACGATTGAGCTACCGACAATAGGTTGAAGTTCAAGCTCTCTACTAGTAGCACATTGGAAATGCTCGTCATTGGATATTGCAATCTTACCAAGCCCTTTGACCTTGCCTCTGCTATTATCACCAAACGTTATACTATCAACCCCATTGCTCTTATTTGTGTTGATTGAATTGAACATTCTTGAATCACCGGTCATGTGTTGTGTGCACTCACTATCAAGCACCTAATGCCTTTCTTCAGCTTTGTAATTGACCTATAAAAGAAGATCAATTCTTTTTAGGTACCTAAACTTGCTTGAATCCTTGAAGATTAGTTACTAAGGTCTTGGGCACCCAAATAGCTTTCTTCTTTGAGCTCTCATTAGGTGCACCAATGAACTTAGCCTTCACACCATTGGCACCCTTAACAAGCATGTAACAAAAATCAAATCTAATTGAGGATACATTAGCACATGATTTCTTGTTCTTGCAATCATGCTCTTTGTGACCAACTTCCTTGTAACTAGTGCAAAACCGACCATTATTCTTCATAAAACTAGTCTTGTGAGACGCAAAGACCGCATTGCCTTTTTTGGGGGTATAGCCCAATCCCTCTATGTAGAGAGACAATCTTTGGCTACCTAAGCACAAAAGCAAGAGGTCCTCACCACCATAGGCTTTGCCTAAGGCACGAGTGAGCTCATTGACCTCTTTTTTGAGGGTCTCATTTTCCACCATTAGTGAGGCATCACAAGTAAAACCATCACTCAAAGGTAAAGTAGAAGTGGTAGTGCTACAAGAAGGGTTAGTAGGAGCAACAACGGGCTTATAAAAAGATTCATCAAGAATATCACATGTTAGTCCCACATCACATGACACAATCACTTGCTCTTTCTTGGCTTCCTCCTTCTTAACTTGCTTGAGGAGAGAGGAGTGAGCTTTTTCAAGCTTGGAGTGAGCCTTGCCAAGCTCCTCATGGTCTTCCCTTAAACTCTCATGAGAAGCATTGAGCTCATAAAAGGATTGCTCAAGAGATTTGACCTTCTTGCGTAATTCTTTGCACTCCTTTCTCTCTCAAAGAAAGTGTGGACTTTCTCCAACATGTCCATGATCTCCTCCTTAATGTACTTCTCATCATCATCACTCCTACAATCATCACTTTCACAAGCATCACTCGCATCATATTTTACCTTGTTAGGCTTTGCCATGAGGCATGTCGATGGAGTGTCGAAGATGGAGGGCTTATTGTTGATGGCGATGCTTGCTAGTGCCTTCTTGAGTGACTTCTTGTCATTATCACTAGAATCATCACTATCCGAAAAGCCATCACTATCACATGTCACCACATAGCCTCCACCTTTCTTCTTCTTTTGGAAGGTCATCTTCTTTTCCTTATTTTCCTTTCTTTCCTTCTTCTCCTTCTCATCCTTATCATTGTCACTATTGTAGGAACAATCCGCTACAATGTGATCCTTGCTCTTGCACTTGTAGCATCTCCTCACATAATCCTTGCTCTTGAAGTTTTCTCTTCTCTTTCTTGCACCATAGCCCTTCTTCTTCATGAATTTGCCTATCTTGTAGACAAAGAAAGTCATGGCCTCATCATCAATGTCACTAGCATCTTCATCCTCATTTGATTCTTCTTTCTTGGACTTGCCCTTGTTCTTAGATGATGAGCTAGCCTTGAATGCTACACTCTTCTTCTTCTTGTCTTCATCCTTCTTCTCATCTTGATCAACCCCTTCCCTTTTCACATGGTATGTCTCTTATGTTATGACATCACCCGGTACTTGGTTGGGGGTTAGTTACTTCAATCCTCCTCTAATGATGATCAATCTCAATGTCTTAAATCTTGGAGGTAAACACATCAACAACCGATGAGAGATATCATCATCATTGATCTTCTCACCCAAAGCCTTCAAGTCATTGATAATCACTTGCAATCTATGGAACATCTCCGGAATGCTCTTATCATCCTTCATCTTGAAACTTGTCAACTTGTTCTTGAGGATATATAGCTTGGCACTCTTCATCACCGGTGTGCCCTCATATATTTATTCTAATCTCTTTCACACCTCACTTGCTCTATCATAATCCTTGATTTGCTCAAACACCTTGGAATCAATGGCATTGTAGATGGTATTGAGAGACATTGTATTGCATTATTTGTTGGCCTTGTCTTGGTTGGTGGGATTGTTGGGATCAAGAATCACATAATCACTCTCGATCACATCCCACACTTGATCATTGATTGAACCAAGATATATCTTCATCTTTTTCTTCTAATAATCATAGCATGTGCCATCAAAGAACGGTGGTTTGCCCCCACATGGTTGAACACAACTTGAGCCATCTTTTGACACCGAGGTTGTTAAGCCTTCAATCAAACGGTGACCACGGCTCTGATACCACTTGAAAGATCCTAATATGGCTAGAGGGGGGATGAATAGCCTATTTAAAAATTCTACAAAGCACTAGAGCAATTAATTAGTACAACAAACGGCGTAATGCAATTTTGCTCTAGCTCTACAAGGGTTACAAGCCATCTATCCCAACAATTCTAGTTGCTATGATCAGTAGGTACACACAAGAGCTAAGTCACTACTCACTAAGCTAGTGTGCTCTCAAGGACTAACTAAAGAGCCACACTAACCAAACTCACAAGCTCTCAAAGACTAACTACACTAAAGAGCTTGACAACTAGTTTGCAAGAATATAAAGGAGTGGGTAGGGTGATTATAAGGCCGTGTCGAGGAATGAACTAATCACAATATAAAGACAACCAATCACCGGGAGACATCCAATCACAAGAATGACACACGATTTTTCTCCCGAGGTTCACGAGCTTGCCGGCACGCTAGTCCCCGTTGTGTCGACCAACACTTGGTGGTTCGACGGCTAAGAGGTGTTGCACGACCCTCGTCCAACAAATGGACACCGCAAGAACCTACCCACAAGTGAGGTAACTCAATGACACGAGCAATCCACTAGAGTTACGTTTCGGCTCTTCGCCGAGGAAGGTACAAGAACCCTCACAATCACCGAAGCCAGCCACGAATAATCACCAACACGTGCCAAAGCTCCTCCGCTGCTCCAACCTGTCTAGGTGGTGGCAACCACCAAGAGTAACAAGAAATCCGCAGCCACAACGATCCTCAAGTGCCACTAGATGCAATCATTCAAGCAAATGCACTTGGAATCACTCACAATCTCAGTATGATGATGAATCAATGATGAAGATGAGTGGGAGGTATTTGCTTTGGCTCACAAGGATGTCAAGTATGTTAAAGTGCCAAGAGAGTGAGCCTAGGGCTGGCCAAAATACTTAAATAGGGAGCCAACCACAAAAGAGCCGTTGGATCCCCACTGCCTGTTTTCCCGAGCCGACCGAACGCGCCGATCAAGTATGACCGGACGCACACCCCTAGCATCCGGTCAACCATCGCCGTCCACGTGTCACGTCCATTCAACGTGCGCCACCCGATCTCAACAGTCAAAACGATTCGCTCGCGAAGTTAAAGTCAGACCGAACGCACTACTCAAAGTGACCGGACTCAGGGCAACGAAGAGTCCGATCGAGTCCATAAGGTTTTGTTTTTCTCTTTCTTCTTTTTTAAGTTGAGCACTCGATCATCTTTTGGTCATTACCATCCACCATGATCATCCTCTTGCTTCACCACTTGGCATGGGACCATCCTTTCATGTCTACACACTTAGCACAAAGATTAGTCCCAAGGTTTCATCAATTATCCAAAACCAAACTAGGGCTTTCAATTCACTTCGGATAAAGGTAAATGACCTATAATTTTCAACGAAGGAGTATAGGCTTAATAATAATAAGATCTAATAAGTTTCAAATATTTTTAATGTTCGTTGTATTAATGTATATTGTTCCTAGGAAAATAATAGCATAATAATAATGTCATTTCCAATTAATTAGTGAATCCAAAGTGGCCTACATGCTTGTGCTGGTATCACCTTAAACACATTTCCTTCTTTATGTTATGAATTACACCTGAGTATAAGAAAAACTTGGACACTCAATTTATGTGGATTTCGGTTAATGTTTTAGTTTTTTTATTATTTTCAGGGCTATGGATGTCCTGGGCTATCAGCAACTGCTTATGCTATGTGCATTTCAGAGATGGCTCGTGTAGATGCAAGCATCGCTTCCTTTTGCCTAGTTCAGTCGTGTCTTGCCATGCTTAGCATCGGTATGTGTCGATTTATTATCTACACTATAGAATTCATATGATCATTTTGGAGCCCTCAAGATTGTCAAAGATAGCAATGGTGGACATGAAAAATTCTTGATAGTGTCTCTAAGTTGGTAGATGAGGTCAGGTAAAGTGATAGCTTTGGGTACAAGTACGAGGGGTACCTGTATAGGATTGGATTGGATAAAAGGTAGGTCCGAACGGCCACTAAGTGGGTGGAGGCATAAGGAATACATGGCATAAAGAAGGTTTCAAGCGGCCACTGCTTGTAGATACAGTGGTGGAGCCATGAATTTTGCACATAATGTGCATGCACAAGAGCGCTAGGCACCAAAGATAGGCCAAACACAAAGGGAGTTATTATGAATTTACACATGACAAACTTAGGATGCAAAAAGTGACACATTTGACTAGGTTATCGTCAATTAATAATTTATCATTGTCGGTTTTTAATAGTTATAGAAAGCATATGAAATGACACAGTTCTTGTTAATAGTGACGTAGGGGTAGACAAACAATAATAGAATCTGGCAAATAATATAATGGAACTATGTATGGTGCACATCCTGTGAACTATAACTGTCACATTTTATGATAGGCTGGGCATAAAATTTCTTGACCATCGGAAAAGATATACTTTCTTGTTGTACTGTTCATTGTAAAATCTAACCGCTCAACTATTAGTTATTTGATGTCAGTAGCGATATAGCTACCAAACAGCTATTAACATCTTTGCATATGTTCAAGCAGCGCAACTAGGTTCTGAAGCACAGAAGAAGAAATATTTACCGTCATTGAGCAAAATGCACAAAGTTTGCGTCTATGTAAGTGCGGAGGGCTACCTTTAATTGCGGTTTGGCTTAGTGTCCTACTACTTTAATTTCTGCGTAACTAATTTCTCACTTTTCAGGCATTGACAGAGCCGGACCACGGTAGTGATGCAAGTACTCTTAGTACCATAGCCGATAAGGTAGTTTCTATATACACATTTTTTGTGAAATGCCATACTTATGCTGAGTGTTTATGATGAATGCTCACATTCGTGCATGCACATTAACCCCTACAAACGCATAGATGCACACCCTACTCTTATGAACAATTTTAATAGATTGGTATGGTAGATTTTAATATCAATGAAGTCTTCACATGTTTCTTACTGTAAATGGGCACGTTGCCTATCATTAAAAAAAAAGTTAGCCACAAATGTGAGTATGCTTCATGAAAACTCAAACTCAAGTGGGAAGTTTTCATCAAGGGAACTTAAGCAATTGTGTACTACACTCTGGCACCCACATGCACAAATGTTGTGATAGGCCTATCCACGAATACCATTATGTGGAATCTTATATGCACAAATCTATGTGTTTACTTTTAAGCTAAATCCATGAGTTTGCTAGTCTTAACATGGAAGCTTATTTTGTTGCATGGAACATTCATTTCTATGAGAGATGAGAACTAGAAAGTCATGTATAAGAAGTTTGGAATCCACAATTAATCAACATTTTTTTTATCTATGCTCTCTTTTATTTCTTCATATTCTACTGAAGTAACTACCTTTATCCACATATAATGAGTAGATTCTACTGAGTAGCGGATGGCTGAATGCTTCTTGTTTTATGAGAATTTATTTTTTAACGTGTCTCGTGAACATTGATGTGGATGCTTGGTAATATAGTAAGAGTAAGTATCGAATATAATGATTAAATTCATGGAATTAATCATGTTCAATTCAATGCTTCCAAAAGGTTGCAATTTGCTAGTTAGCAGTCTTTGAATAAAAAATTGAAACTTACTATCATCATTGCTAATTTATTTAATCCATTGGTATTATACCGTAGGTCCCTGGAGGGTGGGTCCTTAACGGTCAGAAACGCTGGCCGGCGAACAGTAGCTTCGCCGATGTGTTCGTCGTTCTTGCACGGAATACCAGCACCAACCAGATCAACGGGTAACTAGGCTGGATACTATGTGCTTGTTTTCTCAACACATGCACTGCTGGTCACATATAGTGCGTCGGCAAGGCAACTATATATGCATCTCAGATGTTTCTGTTGACTGGACCAAACATTGTTTGCAGGTTCATTGTCCACGGTGGGAGCCCTGGCCTGAAGATCAGCAAGATCGAGAACAAGATGTCGCTGAGGGTCGTCCAGAACTGCAACATCCAGCTGGACAACGTCTTCGTCCCCGACGACGACCGCTTGCCCGGCGCCAACTCCTTTCAGGATCTCGTGGACGTACGTAACAAAATTGCATTGGTAGACGGTGTTGATCGATGTCCAGCTTATATATATGATCAGCTTATTGAGAACCCACAGCTGGAGATCCAAGTCAAATAAATTTTGTGCATGTTGCTGTTCTTTTCATGCATGCATGGGTTGCAGGCCCTGTCCGTGGCGCGCATCATGGTGGCCTGGGTCAGCATCGGTATTGCGATGGGGGTCTACGATGCGTGCCTAAGGTAGTATGAACTCACCTCATTGGCACGTTGTATCTTTTGAGTACATTTCTCTATTATACATGGAGAAGTTCCCATCATCCTTGGAACTCCATCCATCGTTCTCCGTAAAGCGCTTTGTGTGTGAAAAAAAAAATCCAAAAACTGCAGAAAATCTGTGTGCAGAGGCGCAACGTAGATGTGCATTTTAGAAGTTTGGAGACCTAGATATCATATCCGAGCTAAATTCGAGAGCTGACTGTTCATTTTTACTCTAAATATATATTTTTTGAAAAAAAATATTAAAGTTATTAGAGGTGAACTATAGTTTGGAGGGAGTAGTTTGCTATAAATGTATATATGGTTCATTTTATGACGTTGGTGTACTGCATGTACCGCGGTCAGATACCTGCTAGAGAGGAAGCAGTTTGGTGCGCCGTTAGCCGCGTTCCAGCTGAACCAGGAGAAGCTCGTCAGGATGCTGGGGAACATCCAGGCGATGTCGGTCCTCGGCTGGCGACTCTGCAAGCTGCACGACACCATCAAGATCACCTCAGGCCAGGCTAGCCTGGGCAAGGTCAGTCGACTGACAGACACGGTGGCCTTGTTTCTGAGCCGTGATGACGACTGCATGCTATATTAATCTGGCATCTGTCCGGAAGCCATGGACGACATTGCTGAAACTGAAACAACCACAACCACTCTGTCGATTGTGCAGGCCTGGATCACAAAACAGGCGCGGGAGACGGCGGCGATCGGCAGGGAGCTCCTCGGCGGCAACGGCATCGTCACTGATTTCCATGTTGGGAAGGTCGGTCGACATAGCTGATGAAGTTAGCCCAGTACGTCCTCTAGTTGCTTGTTGGAAGGGAACTGGATCTGATCCTTTCTACATGCGATGCATATGTATGCGCTGGACATATGCATGCGTTTTGTGCAGGCGTTCTGCGACATGGAGTCGGTGTACTCGTACGAGGGCAGCTACGACGTCAACGCCCTCATTGCTGCGAGGGAGATCACTGGCATCTCCAGCATTAGGCCGTCAAGCCGGCTCTAGCTGCTGCAAGGCGTGCCAAACATGGAACTTCAATTCGCAGCAAACAGAGCATGCATGCATGCATACATACATACATACATACATACATAATACAGGGTATCCAAAGGGAAAAGAAAATTAAGAGATTGATTGTGAAAGGAAACACAAACACTGGTGACTGTCCAGCAGCTCAACTGCTCAACACCAACCACCGAGGCAACAATAGTTTTTACATGATTAAGCAGGTTCAAGCAGCTATAGCTTCCCCAGTTCCCCACGCTATATATGTTCTTTTATCCCAAGAAGCTACTTTTGACCTTAGCTTCTTTTTTTTTTAAAAAAAAAGAAACACATAATCCTTGTATTGTTGAAACTCTATTTGTTGTATCAGATAATCATTGTTTACTGCCAACCGTTGGGCTGAAATCCCGTGGTCAACCGCGACTTTCCTTTTTTAGAAAAATTATTTCCGCAATTTTTCTTCTTAGAAAATTATAAAGTTATACTCACAACTTTTATGTATAACTTTTTGCGGACAAAAACTTATCATCGATTTTCTTAGAATGTTGCAAAGTTACGCAAATAACTTTTATATATAATATTTTGCAAAACAAAACTTATCACCATAGCTTCTTAGAAAGTTACAAAATTATACACAAAACTTTTGTGTATAACATTTTGCATAACAATTTTTTATCATAATTTTTTTGATATAGTTTTTTACATATTTAATAGACAACTTATCATGATAGCTTTTCTATATTATCTTTATAATCCAATTTTTATTCATAGCTATTAGTGGACAAACTTATCATAATAATTTCTCAATATAAATTTTCTAGCACAATATTTGTATAATAATTTTATGAATAATATAACTTATACATATACGTTTTGGAAAAAAATACAAAACAAAAAAAAACAAAAACAAAAAAATATACGCTGACTGTTAAATAATCTCTTCTCAGCGTGATAACTATCTCTTCCCAGCGTGCTAACTATGTCATTCCGTAGCCTAAGGAGTTTCCATGATTATACGCTGACAAACTACCTCATCTTTTTTTTTTTAACTTTACGGGCTCTTATGGCCCTATATTTAAAACCACGTGCTCAGCTAAACCGCGAGCACCGAGAGTATTTACGGGCTCTGGGAGGGGGTCCAACCATACAGTAGATTGTCCCGGGTCCCAACTCATACCCAGCCTAGCAATCTCATGTGCTATTGAATTACAAGAACATGGAACATTTCGAATAAATTCACATCTAAATTAGTCGACGAGGATTGCCCGTATACCTTTGAACAAGACACCTTCTGGGCTAAATCACGGGAACTTGTGGTCAGCGCTTCTCTCAGCGAAGTGCTGTCAGTTTCTAGCTCGATTCTGGATATTCCATGTACCTCCGCTGCCTCTAATGCAAATTTGCAGACCAAAGCCCTATTCGTTTCGCTGAAATTTAACTTATACTGATGCTTATACTAAAATGCTGTGAGAGAAAAACACTATTGGTTCATTGAAAAATACCGTTGAGTAGTGTCGCGTACAGGATTGCAGCTCCCGCCATCACCGATTCCCCACTGCTGTTTCCTGATAATGAAGCCGCAAGCTCCTGCTCTCGTCTCGGCTGTGAAGGAAATGCTGTGAGAGAAAAACACTATTGGTTCGCTGAAAAGTACTGCTGAAAGTAGTGTCGCGTACAGGATTGCAGCTCCCGCCATCACCCATTCCCCCACTGCTGTTTCCTGATAATGAAGCCGCAAGCTCCTGCTCTCGTCTCGGCTGTGAAGGCTCCGTCGATGTTTATTTTCAGCCGATCCCCTCCTGGTGTTTCGCACACCCGGCGTCGGACACCTGCATGGGCCTGTTGCTGTGATATCTAACATCTTCTCCTTCCCATCCTGTATCTCCGCTACTGTGCACAGGACTGCCCCACACAATTCCTGACTTGATAACGTTTTCTCCCCAGCATTTGATTTATTCCTTGCATCCCATGTCTTCCACATTAGGACGACTGCGTCGAGACATATTTCCGCTTCCAAGTCCAGCACCGATTTCACAGTCAATAGCAGATCGGGCCTCCAGCAACTTCAGTCTGACGTCTTCTATTGTAAGGGCAACTTCGACCAAACTCTCATCTGGACTTCTATCCTTTTTTTTAGGGCTCGGGACTTAAAAACATAGCTCCAACCAAAGCCTCATCCGACCCCCGATGGATGAGGCACTCTTATTCCTCTCTCCTAAACCCCCAGATGTAGAGTCCCTCATCCTCTCTCCTACTCCTCATTCCTCTCTTATCACAAGGCTGACAAGTAGACCCAATAGGTGGGACACATGACAATATAGTGTAAAGTACGAAAGTTTTAGAGGATTGATTGGAGTGTGCTAAGAAGTAGGAGCTTAAATATGGATGAGGGACTCTCATTTTAGGAGATAGGGGGCCAAAATTTAAGAAATAGGTTGGAGTTGCCCTAAACTCCTCAAGCATGTGCGCACATTCTTACACATTAGGAAGCAGTGGCGGCCATTTTCATCAAGGCGCCAGCATACCGGACACCTTGTATCGAGCTCAATCCCAAGCCTTTTGATATTTAACTTCATTGCTAGACTATTGTGTCCCACTCTCCACAGAAACTGCTTAAGCTTTGGTGGCCATTTTAATTTCCAAATTTTCCTCATCTCCTTATCAAGACCACTACCGTTAGCATCAGAATTCTTACCTTTTTGAGCTCTTGATTATCTTCCAACACATGGTATGCAGATTTGACACTGAATATTCCCTTAGAATCAAAGTGCCATGCCACCGCATCTTCACTGGCCGGTTGAATAGGGATAGAGAGTATATTTGCCACATCTTCTTCCCAAAAAATATCCCGGACCAACTGAGAGTCCCAATTACTCGTCAATGGATCGATAAGTTCAGAGACTTTGGATAGGAGCACTGAACCTCTCGGCATCCGAGGCCTTCTTGTTATACCTGCCGGTATCCACGGGTCTTCCCATATACCGATATACGTATTTGCTCTCCATCGCCTACCCTCCATACCATTCCCTTTTACATTGCCCTTAGTCCACGGATGGCAGAACTCCTTGGCTTGCATGCCCAGCTCAGACGTTTGCAATTTGGTGAGGATACCAGCTTTACAAAGATAAAGTAGAACAGAGATTACCTCAAACAGAACGCTTAGGCTAACGGAACAGGTTCTCCCTCTAACTCTCCCTCTAAGCAGCGTCACGACAAGCCAAAGCCATTACAAGCTATATAAGCAAAACAAGTCTAAGGACAACAGCCGAGCGGCAGCACGCAGAAGGCGACGTCCAGTTCTTCACCTAACCGATGGCAGCAATGATAACCGTTGCTTAACTTCTCCATCACCTCCATCTAGCAGTCCTGGTCTGTGGTCTTCCGCCTTGAGCAGAATGCTCCATTTCTTCAAGAAAATATGTGAGCAGAACTATTTGACGAATAACTACATTAAATTAAATTAATTAAAAACATAAGGAAACCACAGGATCATTAGTTTACAATCCACAGGCAAGAGCTAAGTAATCCCTGAAGAAAAGAAAACATATCAACAATAACGCAAGAGACACAAAAGGCTACAACTTCAAGAAGCTGTCCAATCTTCGCGTTCATCATCCATCACCACCACTGTGCACTTGCAGGATATAATACCAAATCAGGATGTTATATGGTGTTCCTATGTCAAGAAAGACATAGCTAAAAAACAAGAAAGAACTATTGTGCCATCATGCATCTTGCAGCTATATCCTCAAAATATGTGACATTTCTTGTTCCTATCCTCTTTTTTAAGAACAAAGGGCATATAACACCAATGCACAATCTCTTCAAACTTCAGGTGTAGATATATTTTGAGGAAGCATGCTCTTCTCTTATACAAATTAGAATTAGCATGCTATTACTTACCATGCTGTACATTCACTTAAATGAACTCAGACAGTAACTGCCTTATATGCACAAAGTATGCTCAATGATTCAATGTATATGAATATAGAATATAGATGCAGATAAAAACAGGTTATCAATGTTAGATGTATAGGAGGTGTATATGTTTTCCCTCTACTTGGAGGGCTTCTTTGCATATGTACATGGTGTATACTTGCCCTCTTGGGCCTTGCAATAGAGCTGATCGGTCATCTTCTAACATGGTATCAGAGTGAGACGGAGAGACCTGGGGAGGTGTGGCTGCTAGGACGGAGGGCTGCGGCGGAGCACAAGTCACACCCCCAGCTCGAAGACGTGTCTCCTCAGCTCGTAACTCAGGCATCGCCTCTGAGAGCGATGGGCGCGGACGACGAGTCAACAACTGTGCTCGAACGGTCTCGAACTCGGGACGAAGCCGAGAGAGAAACTCGTGAAGGCGAAGAATGTCTCTCTGGTCCCGATGACGGTCACAGCACCGACAAGTACCACCACCGCAGAACTCAGCGCCCAAACTGTCCAGGCGATGCCAGACAGCCGTCATCTGACGGTGGAAGGCCTCAACTGTGGAGTCAAGCTGACGAAGCGACTGAGCCTCCTCAACAACAGCAAGGTACATCGCTTCGTTACGAATCTCGTAACTGCGACGGAGGTGATCCCACATAAGGTGTGAAGTGGCAAGACCTCTAAGGGATAACGAGAGATCGACCTCCATGCTCGCAAGTAAGATAGCCTTAGCAGATTTTTCCTCGCGCAGCCAAGTCTCATAGACACCGAGATCAGACTGGTAGCTCTCCATCTCAGTCTCAAATGCCTCAAGTAAAGCATTCTTGGCATCATCATCGGCATCTGGCGGGTATGTGGGCGGCGTGGGAAGAAGAGGACGGGGAGGACAGATCCGCTCACCCGTGAGGTAGCCCCACATCCCCCAGTTCTCCAGCATCCGTGTCAGCTGCTTCGTCTACCACATCTTTTGCGCAGTGGCATCGGCGTCTTGGCCACCTCTCTGGTTCTAGATTGTCCACTCTTGTTGGTAGTGGTGTGTTAGGTTCTGTTTCTGGTGACACTACTCTTCATTGTATGGGTTGTAAACTTGGCAAACAGTTGCAACTCCCCTACCCTTCTAGTGAGTCTAAGTCCCAGAAACCTTTTGATCTTGTTCACTCTGATGTATGGGGTCCTGCACCTTTTGTTTCAAAAGGAGGTCAATCATATTATGTTATTTTCATTGATGACTATTCGAGATTTACCTGGATTTATTTGATGTCTTCTCGTGGTCAATTTCTTTCTATTTATCGACAATTTGCCACCATGATCCGTACCAGTTCAACTCTCTCATTCGAGTTTTTCGTATGCGGATTCTCTTTGGTGAGTAGTACATCTCCACCGCTCATCGTTCCTACCTTGCCGAAAGGTGGTACTCTTGCCCAATTTTCATGTCCTGGTGCTCATGCTCAAAATGGTGTTCTTGGCGCAAGCATCGCCACACTCTTGAGACCGCTTTCGTGCTCTCTTGATCTCTTCTATGCTTGCTCCTCATTTTTTTGGGCTGAGGCGGTTTCTACAAATTTTTTTCTTATAAATCGCCAACCTCTCTACTTCTCTTGAGGGTTGCACTCCCTATGAGCGTCTTTTTTTCGGCACCCTCCTTCCTATAGCCATCTTCGTTGTTTTTTTGGGGTGTGTCATGTTCGTCCTACTTCCACCTCGTGGCGCGCACCAAACTCACTTTGCTCGATCTGTTGAGTGTGTTTTCCTTGGAGTACAAGACGGAACATAAGGGTTATCATGCTATGACCCTATTGCTCGTCGGATGAGGATTTCTCGGGATGTCACCTTGATGAGTCCCTTACTTATCCTCGTTCCCCTTCCGGTTCTTCTAGTACCACCGAGTCCCTCTCATTCCTCACTTTACCCGAGTGGTATCTTCCATTGTCGTCTCCATCCTCTTCACCACCTCGGGCATCTTTTACTCCGCCTCCACCATCACCACCACCTACTTCTCCATCTTCACCACCTCCTACCTCTCCACCACCAGTCCCTCCTCCACCATCATCGTTGCGTCCTTCCCGTGAGATCACTCACTACTACACTCGTCGTCCGCGCCCTGCGCCACCACTTGACTCTTCTCCGTCCGTCCTTGGACCTCATCCTAAGTCTCCTCCTCGCTATTCTTCTTGACGACAGCACCACCCTTCATCCTCCCGATCGCCTTGGCTTCACTGCTGCCGTCTTGGCTGAGCCCGCGACCTATCGGGAAGCTGCCGTTCATCAGGAGTGGCAACATGCTATGGCTGAGGAGATTGCTGCCCTAGAATGTACTGGCACCTGGGATCTTGTTCCTTTGCCACCTCACGTCACTCCTATCACTTGCAAGTGGGTGTATAAGGTAAAGACCCGCTCGGATGGCTCTCTTGAGCGCTACAAGGCTCGTCTTGTGGCACGCGGCTTCCAACAGGAGCAAGGTCGTGACTATGAGGAGACCTTCGCTCCTGTCGCGCACATGACTACTGTTCGTACTCTTCTTGCGATTTATTCGCTTGCGTCGCTGGTCGATATATCGATTGGATGTCAAGAACGCCTTCCTCAATGGCGAGCTGCGAGAGAGAAAGTCTATATCGACCACCTCCGGATATCTGCATCTGATGATGGCTGGTTTGTCGGTTGCGCCGTTCTCTCTCTGACCTCAAGCAAGCTCCTCGGGCTGGTTTGAGCATTTCTCCTCTGTTGTCATCGATGCTGGTTTTACACCAAGTGATCATGATCCTGCTCTTTTTGTTCACACTTCCCCTCGTGGTCGCACCCTTCTTCTTCTCTATGTCGATGACATGATCATCACGGGCGATGATTCCCAGTACATTGATTTTGTGAAGCAGCGTCTCAGTGAGACATTCCTTATGTCTGATTTGGGTCCCCTTCGTTACTTCCTTGGTCTTGAGGTCACCTCCACATCTGATGGTATCTTTCTCTCTCAGGAGAAATATACTCAGGACCTCCTTTCCGTCTTTGCTCTCACACGATCACCGCCTTGTTGATACTCCTATGGAGATTGGTGTTCACCCTCGACCCACCGATGGTGTACCACTTGCTGATCCTACTCGCTATCGTCAGCTTGTTGGGAGTCTTGTCTACCTTGGGATCACTCGTCCTGACATTTCTCACTCTGTGCATATCTTGAGTCAGTTTGTCTCAGCTCCTACCCACCTCCACTATGCTCACCTCCTTCGTGTTCTGCGATACCTTCGTGGAACTATCTCTCGGCGCCTTTTCTTCCCTCGTTCTAGTTCCCTTCAGCTTCAGGCGTATTCTGATGCGACCTGGGCGAGTGATCACTATGATCGCTACTCTCTCTCTGCCTATTGTGTTTTCCTTGGCTCCTCCTTGATTGCCTGGAAAACCAAGAAGCAGACTGCTGTTTCTCGCTCAAGTGCTGAGGCTAAGCTGCGTGCTATGGCGACTGTGACTGCGGAGGTGACATGGCTACGATGGCTTCTTGAGGATTTTGGTGTGCCTGCCACTGCACCCACTCCTCTCTCTTCTGACAGCACCGGTGCGATCAGTATTGCTCGAGACCCAGTCAAGCATGAGCTCACCAAACACATTGGCGTTGATGCTTCCTACATGAGATCGCAGGTGCATGATCTGGTTGTGACGCTCCACCATGTGCCTTCAGAGGTTCAGCTAGCTGACTTCTTCACCAAGGCACAGACTCGGGCTCATCATAGATTCCTACTCTCCAAACTCAGTGTTGTAGATCCACCATGAGTTTGAGGGGGGGTGTTAGATGTATAGGAGGTGTATATGTTTTCCCTCTACTTGGAGGGCTTCTTTGCATATGTACATGGTGTATACTTGCCCTCTTGGGCCTTGCAATAGAGCTGATCGGTCATCTTCTAACAATCAAAACATGAGAAGAAAAGAAGACTTTCTTTTATGCAAACTGAAGAACAATAGTTAAGACCAAAATATGTGCACAGAAGAAAGTTTAGTTCAGAATTTTTTAGTGCATTTTCCTAGAAATTGGTTACCATTCATAACATATGAATCATTGAATAGAGAGTTCTATAAACAGAAACTAGACTGATTACAATTCAGCAAAACTGCACAGCAAAGACACTACAACAAGCTATAATCATTGAGCGAGGGGGCACATTTTAACTCATTGCTGCCATGAGAGGAGATAACAAAAGTATCTGCTTGTGTTTTGAGAGAATAAGTATCTTGCCTATGGCAAATGACATCATGGCAGAAATGAGTAACAAGAAAAAGCAAGGTACTGCAGAAAAGATAACTTAAAAATACGTAAACCTTTATTACCTGACAAAAAGCATCAGACATTCCGAGCTTCTCTTCTCAGCGTGCTCATTATGTCTTCCTGTGCTTGCTCAAAGACCTATAGGGTCCTTAGCTTTGTCAATTTGGCATAATTAAAAAGTGTTAATAATACGCGATACAACATGCCAGCACACAACACCTTGATTCTATCAGTTACCATCTGCATACACCTTTAACTTCTTCATGTTCTCCATCCTCCCCACCCAATTAAGCCACCGTACAGGAGCTGGATGCTGGACACTCAGGCAAGACATTTGTTAAAACCTATGCATGTCTCCAGTCTTTAAATCAATAGAAACCATTAAAGATAAAATAAGAAAATGAGATAATTTACATCTTTGTTTCAATATACCATTACCGGATCTGGACAATCTGGCAGAAGCTGCAAGATCCGATCAATTTCCATGCTTACACGCTGCTGAATCAACTCATCCAGCAAATGTTCTGCAATCTCCATGACTCTTATGCGCACACGTTGTGTAAGTTCCTAAAATGCGGCAATTTAGTAACTTGTAATGTATTCAATCAGAACAGGTATTGTCAAGGGTAATGATATATTAGCAAATATACCAGCATCTGAAGCTCTGTTTGATAAATTTTTCTCCACATTTTCTCTAGGTTGAAATCCTTATACTGCCACGCCTTCCATTTTTTCAGTTTCCATCCCCCCTGCCTCTTTGGGCTAAGCACAACAGTAGCCTTTGCATATAAATCTAAACGCACAAGTGACTTCACACAGGTATATAATTGCAAGTCATCCTCTCCGTGGGGACTCAAACCTAATAGCTTAACCATCTTGCTAAATTCAATCTGAAAGTTCTTCCCAAGCAATTCATAAGAATACAAGTTATTATCACAATGTTGAATCAAGATCTTATCTCCATTAACAAAATGTAGTCTTCGGGCAAAACTTGATGAAAGTTTAATACTGTACATATGGCTCCACCTTTGATCCACAGTCCCATTTAGTGCCCAGACCTGCAGCTTACAAATAAGCATTCCGTCCAAACTGTGAGCAGTTGATACACATGCCTTCCCGTTGATCTCTGTGACCCAGTAATTACGGCCATCACCAAATGCCCAATCTTCAAGCTCAGCCGCTGGCAGCTGTATCTATGCAAAACTTCCTTCCCCAAGATCAAAGGACATAACCGCATGCTTCCAATTAGATCCCCCGTCTTCAATAAGCCAATACATTGTGCCATCAACAATGACTACTCCGGAGTTTTTCACACAGTTCAAACTTAGAGCTTCCAGAGTTACGATATCTTTCCATTTCTCATCACCAAGTGTGTAAACTTGAATGACATTAAATCTGCCTTCAGTTAAGGGACTGGTCTCCTGACAAAAATGTATAACCTTGTATTCTTGAGTGACTGGGTGAAATCCAAATCTGTAGAAAGAGAAGTGGTCATCCTTTGAGCTTTTTGTAGGCTTCTTTAGATGCAGACATTCACCAGTTGCAAGGTTGGCTATCTTGAGAGTTGATGTAGGTGTGTGCAAGCAAAGAAGCCCATTGCATGTACCGCAGAGTAGGTCATCCGGCCCAATCACTGGTGCCGCCCATGTTGACGGTGACCAGGCTTCGTCAAAGATAACAGCATCACTGAGACACAGCCTGCCTGACCTTGACTCTTTGGGGGAGAACAGGAGTGTACAGGGTGGTACATGCTTGAGGTGTGCCATGGCAAACTGCGAATCTCGGATGATGATGCGCCACATCTTGCAGACACCAATGCACCGCAGCAAACAGCTAGCTGGGAGCCTCAAAAACACCTGCTCAATGAGTTCTCTTGGGAGGGAGTTCATGATGCATTCTTCCTTTTTTGCCCGCCTTCGAGTGCTTCTCTTAGAAGCCATACTAACCACAATCCAGCTTGTGTTTGTAAAAAAAAAATTATTAAGGCGCAGATCCTTTTTGCAAAGCAGCAAAAACACTCCTGCAAAATGCATGCAAAGATTTATTGAATTAAACAATAACACTATATATCAGAGTTACAGACACTCAAGCAAATAACATGAAATCTATGAAAGGGTTAAATTACTTACAAGCTTTAGTTTTTCATTTCTCAAAAAATCCACTAAAGAAAGTACGAAACTTTTGTTTTTTTCCTACCATACTGGATCCTTTCAAGGGCTATAAAGAACAAAACTCAGGAGAAATTACTCTACTCTCAATATTTATCTCGAGTTGTTTAAGAAATTATGACTAGAGAAGTTTTAAGTAAAATTCCTAACCACAATAAAGCCCCATTGCACAATCAGAATTTCTGTTCTCACATCAGCAGCCGCTACTTCATTCCTCTATTTTTCTCTCATAGATTCAGCACCCCTCCAGTTCTCCCCGTCAAGTGCCAAAAGATTTCAACCAACGCCCCTTTCTGTGTTCCCTACCAAAACGAAATGTATTAAACGTTCGGCATTCCCCGTCGCGCGCCTCGACTAACTTGAGGCCTACCAAACTCTAGCCCAACAGAAATACAGAACAATTGTGGAAGGCGAAAAACAAGAAAGGCATCCCGACGGGCGATGGATAACCAGGCCCGGAGAGAAAGAGGGAATGGAGGGAACTTACGTGAGCTATGAAGGTGAATCCGCCGTCGCCATGGTCTCCTTGTCCCCGCCGCGGCGGAGCGAACTGGAGACCGCAGCGGCTCGGTGTACTTCTGGCGAGGAGAGAAAGGAGTGGAGTGTTCGTCGGACCATATATGGACCAAACAACAGGCCGCCTGGCATTAGATAAATACTTACGGCCCATCAAAGCCCACAGCAGCTACTTCCTTCATTCCACACGGCTTGCGGCCCAGCAACGAGGTCGAGCGATGCGTTTTCATTCTGCGTCTAGCGATTTGGATTGGTGGGGTTGTATTATACTGTATGGGCGTATATGTATGTATGGCTGTACCAGCTCAGCCGGCCGCAGTTTCGCTGACAGTTGCCCCAGTTTCGATGCTTGCGCTGTCGTCGGCGTCGAGGCACAGGTAACCAGCGGCGTGTGCTCCAAACATATATACAGTACTAGTACTGTAAGTGATAAATTAAATAACGGAAATGCTAATAAAAAAACACGAACCATATGAGAATGCGGCCCGCACACCCCGCACGCTGCCCGCACACCCCACCCCGCGCCCGCACACCTCCCCCCCTCCCCCCCTCTCTCTCACCGCGACGGCGACCCACCCAGCGCCCCACCGTCTCCTCGCGCGCGGCCATGGCAGATGCAGCGGCGGATCTGCCAGATCCGGCGGCGGCGGGCCTAGTTAGGCCTCCTCCTCCTCCTCTCTCCTCCTGGATCAGGCTAGGGTTCTGGTGAACTCTCCCTTCTTCTCCCCCAACTCCGGTGGACTATAGAATGGCCGGTCAGGAGGAGGCAGGTAGGCCAAGCGGTGGGGATGGTCGATAGGCGGCGACAGGGGTGGTCGGGCCAGGTTGGGGAGGGGAAGGCTCACCGGAGCCAGAGAAGATGGCGGCGGTGGGGGGAGGGGGAGAAGAGGGTTCGGTGGTGGCCGGCGACAAGGGCGAGGGCGTCGGAGTCGGGGAACAAAAGAACTGGTCTGTTTTTTTTTTCTTTTTGGCAACCAAAATTATATGTTTCCAAATTGGAGTGTGCATGTGGAAAGTGCATTTACTGTGCGCGCATGTTGTACGTCCATTAAATAAACCGTGCATACTCCCACAGGGTGACAGCACGCATAACGATGCATGTGTCTGCACCACCAAGCAAGGCCGCGGCGCTTCAGAGTAAGGCTAATAATACAGCCGACTATTGGCTGTATAAAAACTTACAGTCAATCTATGAGCCCACTCATCATATAATAGTTAGCCGGCTTACAGCCCACTTGTTTGTCTCACGGTAAGTTTACAGTCCACTTCTCTTCTCTCTCCTCCCTCTCTCCTCCACGTCAACATATAGCCTACTTAGACTGTCTCCAATAGATGACTCGTATGGGCATCCAAACCCAAAATGGGTAGCAGGAGACCTAAAATCAGTCTCCAACACATTACCTATATGGGAGACTCATTTTGAGTTGTCTGAGAGGCATAACCTAAATATGAGTATCATCTCTTCTGAAAATCCATTTAGAGACAGGATTTTCTTTTGGGTTCTGTTATTGGAGAAGATGTCGAATGGGTATCGAATCTTTTACTTGTAGCGCTACCCAAATGTTAAATGGATATTGTATCTTAAATGTTATTGTTGGAGATAGTCTTACAGCCCCTTATTATACGTTCTTATCGCCGGAGATAGAGGGAGGCAAAGGCGCCGTCGGGATTACGGCGAGGAGTACACCGTCTGGCAGTCGCGTCAGCAGGTTCCCACACAGGTTTGTTACCTTCTGCAGGGATCCATGTGTGGTGCAAGGTGAGGAGCGCTTCTCTAATTCCTGTCCCCGCTCTGCTTTTGATCTTCGGCTGCTTCATGGGCAACCTCTTAGCCTCCTCTGTTCCGGTAAACAGGGCCAGTCATGTGCTTTAATTACAGCTTGCTGGAGTTGAGAGTCGGACGGTGACCGCGAGCGAGCAGGCCAACAAAGAGCGCCTATTCTGGATCTCCATAGTCCCTCGCGGCGCCCATAGCTGCACCTGTGGCCACCTATATGCAGCTGCAGCGACGACCAGCAGGGCCAAGCACTTGGCTTGGCTTGCTACATGCACGTCCATGCAGATGCAGGTCGTCCTCATCTTTCCACTGACCACTCCGCTAACAGACTTGCATGGCACGCGAGCCTAACAGAATGGAATTGAAGCTACACACATGGTCCACACACGAATCGACCTTAGTGCCATTGTCAGGTGTTTCAGAGAGTAGCTGGAAGTTACCCAGGTGGGCAGATTACACAGGTCAAAACATGTTGCAAGCATAAATAATCCAATAGCATAGCCTTACAAGGTGGTTCCGAAGAACTTAACAGTTCACAGCAATTGAGGGTTGAGCAATCCATCGAGCAAAGAAAATTCGAAATAGCTAGCAGGAGACAACAAGAATGACATGAGAAGTTTTCCAGTCTTCACGTCACCACAATCACCACCCATCGCCAGTCACTCTTGGTAAATATTATTCCGAGACGGCTAGAATGTCATGATTCATTTGAAATTTCGGCAGCATCCTTCGATATGCGCTGCGAAACATGAACACGGATCAAATGGAAGAACAGTTTGGTGTTACAATTCCCAGAAGATCGGTGACTAAAATGCATCTTGCACCTACATCCTTAAAATGTATGGCATTCATTACTGCTATCCAGTGTCCTTCGTTTGGAAAGAAAAAAAAGAGGGGATATTGCCAATCCAGTATTTAACCAATATTCAAGTTCAAAAATCTACCCAGGGAAATAGAAGCAGAAAAGGCAAATGTTGGGCAAGGTGCCTTATTTTAGACCATGTTCTCCGTTTGCTTTGCTAAAGGTATATTAATATGACAATTTCATTTGAATGAGACAGTCAACACTGAAAGTAACTAGTAATCTAATGCTCAATGAGAAGTATGCCAAAGCTGAATAGTAGTCTAGGAATATAAATGCAGACCACAACATGTTATTCAAACATGTAAATAAGGTTCCTTTCTTTTGTGGAGGCAGAAGAATATCATTTAAACTTTCAGATTATAATGTCTTGCATAGAACTTGACAACTTCAAATTATATCATACCAATTCCACTACCAGAAAAGTGCACAATTTGAGAGAAAAAAAATCAAAGCACATCTCTGAATTAAAATATGCCCTACTTGGAAAATAAGCGCATTTTACAAATGTTCTTCTGTAAGAATCGAGATAATAAATTAATCTTGCTCATGCTTTTAGAGAAAATGATTCCCTTATTTATAGCAAATCATATCACAACAGCAACAAGTAAAAGGAACAATCAATCTAATGCGGAAAGAGTAATAACTCAGAATCTACATAATCCATTACCCGAAGATGATTCTGCAAATCACTTAACTCGCGTGTGCCATCATCTGCCTCCATCGATGCCTACTAGTAGGTTAGTTTTATCAAATTGACATATCTCAGTGCTAGATGTATATGGATAAAAAATTCATTTGAATGTGTTTGATAAAGACAATATCATTTGAATGTGTTCACAACACAATTTAATCTGAGGTCAGAGAGGTGTTGAAAAGGATAAAAGAAGGTAAGGCGATGGGACCGGATGGTATCCCAATCGAGGTGTGGAGATGCCTCGGGGACATAGCTATAGTATGGCTAACCAAGCTGTTCAACCATATTTTTCGATCAAACAAGATGCCTGACGAGTGGAGGAGAAGTATATTGGTACCGATCTACAAAAATAAAGGGGATATTCAAAGTTGTACTAATTACCGGGAAATAAAGTTGATGAGCCATACTATGAAGCTATGGGAGAGAGTTATCGAGCATCGCTTGAGAGCAATAACGCGGGTCTCTATGAACCAATTTGGTTTCATGCCCGGAAGGTCAACCATGGAAGTCATTTTCTTAATAAGACAAGTTATGGAGCGATATAGGGAGAAGAATGACCTACACATGGTTTTTATTGACTTGGAGAAGGCTTATAATAAAATAACAAGGAATGTTATGTGGTGGGCTTTGGACAAACATAAAGTCCCAACGAAGTACGTCAGGCTCATTAAGGACATGTACAACAATGTTGTGACTAGTGTTCGAACAAGTGATGGAGACATGGATGACTTCCCGATTAGGATAGGACTACATCAAGGGTCAGCTTTGAGCCCTTATCTATTTGCCTTAGTGATGGATGAGGTCACAAGGGACATACAAGGGGACATCCCTTGATGTATGTTTTTTGCGGACGATGTAGTGCTAGTTGATGAAAGCCGGACAGGAGTGAATTAGAAACTGGAGTTATGGCGGGAGACTTTAGAGTCCAAAGGTTTTAGACCCAGTAGAACTAAAACTGAGTATATGAGATGTGACTTCGACAGTACTACTCAGGAGGAGAAATATATTAGTTTGGAAGGTCAAGTAGTGATACCTTTCGATATTTAGGATCAATGCTACAGAGAGACGGGGATATTGATGAAGATGTTAGCCATAGAATCAAAGCAGGGTGAATAAAGTGGCGCCAAGCATCTGATGTCATATGTGACAAGGGTACACAGAAGCTAAAAGGCAAGTTTTATAGGACGACGATTAGACCTGCTATGTTGTATGATGCAGAATGTTGGCCTACGAAAAGACGACATGTTCAACAGATAAGTGTCGCAGAAATGCGTATGTTGCGTTGGATTTGTGGTCATATAAGGGATCGAGTTCGGAACGATGATATACGTGATAGATTAGGGGTAGCACCAATTGAAGAAAAGCTTGTCCAACACCGGTGAGATGGTTTGGACATGTCCAACGGAGACCTCCAGAGGCACCGGTGCGTAGTGGAATCCAAAGTCAGGATAGTAACGTGAAGGGAGGCAGAGGAAGACCGAAGTTGACTTGGGTAGAGGCAATAAAAGGAGACTTGAAAGGATGGAATATACCTAAAGACTTAGCCTTAGATAGAAGGACGGGCCTGGTGCAAGCGGTAGAATCTTACCGCCTGTGACCGGAAGGTCCCGGGTTTGAGTATGTTAGTCTCTGAATTCTTACTCTTGATAGTAGTACAATTCTTACTCTCATCGAGAGAGGATGACACTAGGAGTTGGGGTAATTTTCTGGTTTATTTCTCGCACAAATGCCATGCCAACCTGAGGGGTTGGGGATACATATTTATAGGCTGCTAGCCAGACAAGCATATGCCAAGATGCTAGGATGCTGTCCTAGATGCTAAGATGGCAGCAACAGCCAGCAGCCCCACAAAGACCAGACCAGCCAGACTTATCCATCAGAGTCACGGTCTCCTCGCATTGCACACGCGAGGGTAAGGCTTGCCACTGACACCCTTCCCCAGACCCCGCACAGAGCGAGAGCTCTCTGCACTGGATACGCCCTTTACTTAGCCTTAGATAGGAGTGCTTGAAAAACAGCTATTCACGTGCCTGAACCTTGACGGCTTCTGCTAGGTTTCAACTCTAGCCCACCCCAACTTGTTTGTGACTTAAAGGCTTTGTTGTTGTTGTGTTCACAACACAATTTCATTTGAATGAGATAAATTTAATAGCAGCAAAAGTAGCAAGTATTCCTGTTCTCAATTAGTGCACAAAATATGTCAGACTTGTATCTGTTCAAGAATAGAAATTCATACCAGAGCATGTTATTCAAGCATGTAAAGAGATCGATTCCTTTTATAGAGAGAGAATAATAGCATTTAAAAATTAAAAGTGGTGTGAGTTTTCTTTTTTCATGTGAGTTAAATTCATAAGTATAGTGACTCACATAAAAGTTGGCAAACAAGTACTAGTCATATCATAACAATTGCACTTACAGAAAAATACCAAAGCGTGTCTTGGAATTAAAGTATAGTCCTAAGTCCTAACATGCAAAAATAAGCACATTTATGTGTGTTCTTCTGAACAAAAGGATATAACAGAAATTGATCTTCCTTGTGTTTTAAAAGGACATGATTGTTTTTCTTATGGCAAATCAGATCACAAAATAAACGAGTAAAAGGAACAACCAAGCTCGTGCAGAAAGACTGATAACTTGGAACATGGAACCTATGAACCATTACCTGAAGATGATTCAGCATATCACTTAAAGCGCTGTGGATGCCATCAGCTACCTTCCCCATAGCCTACAGGCAGGTTAATTTTGTCAAATTGACATACCTCAGTGACTCGAAGATAATACTGGGTAGTAAATGCGAGCACACTATACCTTGGTTATATCCTTTAATCTATTCACACGAGCTGCTAACTTCTCATCATCCCGCTTCCATGCAACCCAATTAAGACGCCGCTGAGGCCTTCGATGCTGGACTCTCCGCAAACACGGTAGTTATAATGGTCTTTGCTCTTCCAGTGGTTATTAACCATTTTTTTCAACAGAAAAGACAAAGGGAAATTTGCTAGTTTCATTTCGCGACATATTTACCTGATCAGAAAAATCTGGCAGATGCTGCAATGTCTGATCGATTTCCATTGCTATTTGCTGCCGAGTCACCTCATCTGGCACACGCTGCAAGACCATCTTGGCTGCTGTGGCCAGATGTTGTGCAACTGCCTACAGAGAATTTAGCAATCTGTAAATAATAAATAACAAAAATACCGGTTAAGGCTAATGATAATATAGGCAACTTACCAATGAGTTCCGCTCCAACTTATAGACCTTTTTCCACACATTCTCTACACCGCAAATATCACGCTCCCACGCCTCCCATTTCTTCAATCCCCAGCCACCCTGCTGTTTCGATCCATGCACGATACGAACCTTCTTGTATGCATCTAATCTTACAAGTGACTTCACACATATAAAGGATTGCACATTATCTGGTTTGTGGGGGCTGAAATTCAGCAGCTTCACCCGTTTGCTTAACTTAGTCCCACAGCCCTTGCCAAACAACTCATGCGAACATAGATCACCTAAACTAGACTGCATCATGATCTTATCCCAGTGAACAAAATGTGGACCCGGAAGGTAATTATGTGTGTACCGAAGGCTGTACATCTGGCTCCAGCTTGACTCTAGTTTGCTACACAATGTCCAGATCTGCAGCTTACCAGAAAGCATTCTGGGCCAGTGCTGGTGGACTTCGGCAGTCGCTATACATACCTTCCCATTTATCTCTGTGATCCAGTACCGACGATAACCTCCAAGTGTAGAATCTGGCAGCTGTATCCGTGCAAAACTTTCTTCACTTAGATCAAAAGATATAACAGCATGCTTCCAGCTAGCTTCGGCATCTTCAGTTAGCCAAAACATCGCTCCATCGGTATTCACTACACCAGAGTTCTTCACACAGCTTAAGCTTAGATCTTCAGAACTTCTAACATCTTTCCATTTGTCACTCCCAAGCGTGTAAACTTGAATGACATTAAAGGTTCCTTGAGAATTGTTGTGATGCTCACCAAGAAAGTGTGTAACTTTGTACTCTTTTGTGACGGGGTGAAATCCAAAACGGTAGAAAGAGAAGTGATCACCCTTCAAATTTTTTATAGGTTTGTCAAGATGCAGGCATTCACCGGTTGCAAGGTTAGCAATCTTGATTGTTGATGCCTTTGTGTATAAGCAGAGAAGCCCATTGCATGAGCCGCAAAGAAAATCATCCGGCCCAATCACTGGCACGGCCACTGTTGACTGGGACCAGCCTTCATCAAAGACAATAGCATCACTAGGGTAGGGCTTGCCATGAACCGACTCTTGTGGAAAGAATAGGAGGGCACAACGGGGAGCTTGCTCAAGGTGTGCTGTGATGAACTGGGGGTCTCGGATGACTTTGTGCCACTGCTTGCAGACTTCAGTGCATCTCAGCAAAGTGCTCACTGAAAGCCTCAAAAATATCCGCTCAACGAGGTCACCTGGAAGGCAGTTTATGATGCATTCCTCCTCTTTCTTCTTCTTTGAGTTGGTTTCCTCAGAAGCCATAGGAATCAATCTGGCCTGTGGATGCAGCAGCGCTACCAAATCCTCTTGGAAAGGTTTCTGCCCAGAGATTATCACTTTATCAGATTATTAGATACAGCACAGAAATTACCAAATGAGAACCCAACATGAATAAAGAGTGACTCATACAGACATAAACAACTGCATGAGATTATTTTCAGATTAAATATCATACTAGCACAGAAGGTACCATCCCAGTAATTTACACTCATTTCCAAGGTTATTGTCTAACATCTACCAAACAATGAGAAAGGAAGAATCAGGGGGCTCTAAAAGTTTGACTACTTCAAATTCTAACTCTCTTAAGTACTAAAATATTCTCTATGCATTAAAAAGTTTTTACCACATTAGCATCTCCCTTTCATGCAGAGGAGTGCCCAGGGTTTGGCCATAGTCACAGGGTTCGGGGACGAAGCCGCGAACCGCTTACCAGGTACGCCGACCCAAATCGAGGTATGGGTACAAGATGGGTTGACGTCCCATTTATGGATGGGTCGCGCCCCATTGCAGCACGGTTCAAGAAGGGACGAGTCCCAATCCTAGACGGCGAGATGCAGATGAAGGAAGGCTTATGGATGGGGCTTGAGGTTGTCGCCACTCGCCGGCATCGCTGCTGGCCCAGCCGTGACATCGCCGGCATCTCTGTCGACGGTAAGATTCAGGACAGAGGCAGCACCGAATCAGAGGCGCTCCGCACTTCTATGGCGCCGTGCCGCCGTCCATGCTGGTGCTGGTGACTGGTCACTCGCTCACCGGCGGCTAGACAGCCACCGCACCTCATTCCTGTGAATGGCGGACAGGGGATCCCGCCGACTGAGCATGTGCTTCTCTAATTTCTATTTGTTTTCTAATGAGACTGTACAGGTTACGCACTTCCTTTTAGTTTTTGGAGGAGAAAATTAGTGTCGCATGTGGTGGGACATTTCCCTCCGTGAAAAAAACCCTGTGATTTGTTTCCTAATGTATAGTCTCAAAAAAGGAAAAGAGAATCGGTTCAAAAAAAATTCTATATGATTTGTTTCCTAACGTAGACTGTAATCAACAAGTCAAATGCAAAACCGAGAGATTGAAAACAGATCCACGTGTCGAAAAACAACAAGTCAACCACTGCAATACATACAAGACTCCATGCTTCGTACCAGGGTCATCGACCCATAGGCTTTGGGTTCATGTACCAAATATTTGGTTCTCGTACCACAGAGGTATACCCCCTTCGTACCACATTTTTGTCGAGTGTCGACCCACGTCCCTTGACCCCGTCCCTCAACCCGGTCGACCCAGAATTCTTGTGACTACTTTGGCGACCCTAGGCTCTGGAGCAAGGGTGCCAAGCCGCATATAATACAAGTTGTCCAACTTAAGTGCAGAGTAGTGGCAGTATGCCAGAGAAGCATGGATAGGCTGCTGATCAAATATGCAACTGCTAAACCAGGCCTTGGGGCCTATGTGACTATGCCTATAGTAAGAACTATCGCTGGAGAAGGGCTCTCAGCCAAGTGCAGCGTACGGGTTTAAAAGTCTTTGCACCATGGTGGCATTCAGATGTGCACTGGGAAAGGGATAGGAAATAAGATGGGTTATGGGGGGCCTGGTCACGGCTTGGGTTATGATATCCATATCCCAATCCCTTGTTCAGGAACAACTGGACTGATTTGGGATAAAACCAGCGAAATCAAGTCAACGCAGAAAGAAGAAACGAATAGAAAAAGAAGTGCACCGTTTCTCCTCATCCTCCAACTTCTGCCTTCTTCCTCCCACCGCCCATCCTCCTTCTCCGGCGGCAGCGGCATCTGTGGCCACACCTACCATGCCCCCAGGGGCACCTGTGGAGCCTCCGAGCCATGGTGGCCTCACTCACTGGCGGCTGCCAGCAACTCAGGCGTTGCCATCAAGCTCAGGTATAGCATCATCAAGCACCAGCTTCTAGGCCCCTCCACGTTCACATCAGGCAAGTTCTGTGAGCGAGAGATCTTGGCTTCCTAGTTCGGCGCCGCGTGGAGTCAGCGGTGGCCACTGGCCAGCTCCATGTGACTCAAGGCAGCCCTCCTCACGGATTCCCTGTGATGTGGGTGGTTTTTGTTCCCCACCAGCGGCAAATCACACCTAGCGCAGCGACAATTCAGGACCCCACATCCGCCCATGAGTTCGCAGATGCATTTCCCATCCAAACCCACCCCTCCGGTCGGGATAGGAAATAGGATCCCTGGGATAAAGGCCTCCTTTCCTTTTCCACGCCCACCTTTTTTTTCTCTCTGTAGTCTATCCCATTATCCAAACAAGGGTTCAAATCTATCCTACACCTCATTTCCCTATCCTAACTCCTATTTCCCATGAACCAAACGCCATGTTAGTACAAATCAGTGCCCACTAGGCCACAGTAGATTTGCAACCCTGTTCTACCCGGATGGGAAGAGAGAACTTCTTGAGCCTAGACCGCTCCATATCTGGGTGCGCCACTGTTTCTCTTTAATGTATGAACAGAGCTTCATAAATCAACCATTCCTTAAAACGCCCAGCCGAAAAGAAAACATTCCACATACAAACTAGAGAAAAAAAACTTACCCTACTAGGTTCTCCACATCTACACATTTCCTAGTCGCGTCAACTTCAAGTCAAACACAACTGGCGCTCTATCCAGTGCGCCAAACCCTAAACTAAGGAACTCGAAACAGGAACCCTAGCCGGCAGCTGCCGTCACGGGTCGGCGAGAAGAGCGTCGCGAGGAATACACGGATTCGACGAGCAAAAGAGGAAAACGTGGGCTCACTTACCGGCGCAATCGGCTCAGCTCTGCAACCGCCGCCATGGCGAGAGCCGAGAAACCTCCATCTCACAGGTCCCAGCCAGACGCACACGGTTCGCGGGTTGCTTCGGTGTCTTTTGAGCAACTTCTGCTCCTGTGTCTGTGTGGATTCGAGAAGAAGGGCAAGGCTATCGAGCACAGAGGCCCAGTAAGGCCCAACTAGCCCAATTGTGTGGAATTGCGCTCGGAAAAGTTCAGTTTACCTCTCTTAACTGTTTGATGTCTTCTCCTAAAAAAAACTGTTTGATGTCTTTTGCTAAAATAAAATTAAAAAAAAACTGTTTGATGTCTAGGATAGAGCTCCAAAAGTAACAGGTGCTAAACTAGCGTATAGCGGTAGCAGCAGAGGAACTATATCACTGGTAGTGGTAGTAGCAGAAGCCATAATGCTAGCGCTCACCCAAGTAGGAGCAGTAGAGGGTGAAGAAGAGCGTGCTAGATCCAGCCAGGAAGAAAACTTCAGTGGCAACAGCTCTAGGACTGCTACGGCGAGAACCACGACGCTGCTCTTCCACCTTCCGTCGTTTTTTGTGAGTTTCGTGCCTTCTGGGCGTCTGGGTTCCATCTCGACGGCGCCGCCGTGGCCACCATCGGCCGTGCCCGTGCACATGGATAAACCTCGCCACTACGGCCTCACTCCCTTCGATGGCGCTGCCACCGTCGGTGGCATCCCGAATTCCCGAGTCATTATGGCTTCACAGCGAGTCTGCGGCACCACGGGCTCTCCAATGGCACCACCATCAGTGGCGGCATCTTGAGCAATGCTACGGCGTCGCAAGTTTGACGAAGGCTAAAGGGACGACATGTTCAACCGTGGCCTAATCTTCAACCATGTTCTCACAAGAAAATAGGAACGTGGAACTGAAACAAGAGCTTGGGATGTTATTTTATAACGTGAACGTTTCACAAGGAAGTAGGAACAAAGAACAGGAACATAGTAGAACTAAAACAAGAACTTGGGGTGTCATTTTATAACGCGAACGTTTTAAAACGCGAAACGCGGCCATGTTCCACGTTTCCAGATTTTAAGGGCCGAATCATGTGTCGGTTTTGCCGCCACAGGACGTGCGGATGTCATGGTTGCTGTCCGGTTCGACATGGTAACAATTTACGTCGTCTATGCCATAACTGATTTCCCCTTGATATGTTTCCATTCAAGTCTATGTTGAAACTCCATCAACAAAACAACACCTTGGTGCTTTTGTCAGGTGTTCCTGACAGTAGCTGTTAGTCTGGAGAAGTTACCCAGATGACCATATTACACAGGTCAAAACATGTTGCGAGAATAAATAATCCAATAGCATCGCCTAACAAGGTGGTTCCACAGAACTTAACAAGTTTACAACAATTGAGAGTTCAGCAATCCATCGAGAAAAGAAAATTCGAAATAGTTAGCAGGAGACAAGAATGACATGAGAAGTCTTCCAGTGTTCACGCCACCACATTCACCACCCATCCCCAGTCACTCTTGGGAAATATTATGCCGAGACAGCTAGAATGTCATGATTCATTAGAAATATTGGCAGCTGAGTTCGATGTGCTCGGTATGCGCTGCAAAACATAAACATGGATCAGATGGAAGAATAGTTTGGTGTTTCCATATCAGGGATAACATAGAATTCCCAGAAACAGAGGTCTAGTGTGACTAAAATGCATCTTGCACCTACATCCTTATATCGTTAAAAATGTATGGCATTCGTTATTGCTATCCACATCCGTTGTCCGTCGTTTGGAAAAAAGAGGGGATATTGCAAATCCAGCATCTCACCAATATTCAGGTTCCAAAATCTACCCAGGGAAATAGAAGCAGAAAAAGGCGAATATCGGACAAGATGCCTTATTTTAGACCATGTTCTCCACTTGCTTTGCTAAAGGTATATTAATATGAATTCTTCATTTGAGTGAGATAAAGTCAGCACTGAAAGTAACTAGTAATCTCATGCTCAATTAGATGCCATAGTTGTATAGTAGTGTAGGAATATAAATGCAGAGCAGAACATGTTCAAACATCTAAATAAGATTCCTTTCTTTTGGGGAGACAGAATAATATCATTTAAAATTTCAAATTATAAAAACTTATATAGAACTTGACAAAAGATGAGTATTCATACTATACTGATTCCACTACCAGAAAAGTGCACAGTTTGAAAAAATCAAAGCACATCTCTGAATTAAAATATAGCCCTACCTTGGAAAAATAAGCACACTTAACAAATGTTCTTCTGTAAGAATGGAGATAGCAAATTAATCTTGCTCATGCTTTTAGAGAAAGTGATTGCCTTATTTATGGCAAATCATATCACAACAGAAACAAGCAAAAGGATCAAGCAATCTAATGCAGAAAGAGTAATAACTCAGAATCTACATAAACCATTACCTGAAGATGATTTCGAAAATCACTTAACAACCTGAGAATGCCATCATCTGCCTGCACCATTGCCTTCTGGTAGGTTAGTTTCATCAAATTGACATATCTAAGTGCTAAATGTATATGAATAACAATTTCATTTGAATAGTCACAAAAAAAAACAATTTCATTTGAATGTGTTTGATAAAACAATATCATCTGAATGTGTTCAAAAAACAATTTCTGTTGAATGAGATAAATTCAATAGCAGCAAAAGTAGCAAGTATTCCCGTTCTCAATTAGCGCACAAAGTATGCCAGATCAGCATAACTGTTCAAGAATAGAAATGCATACCAGATCATGTTAGTCAACATGTAAAATTGTAAAGAGACTGATTCCTTTTGTAGAAACAGAATACTAGCATTTAAAATTTTAAAAAAGTGGCGCGAAGTTTTCTTTTTACATTCGAGTTAAATTCATAAGTATAGTGACTTACATAAAACTTGGCAAACAAGTACTAGTCATATCATAACAATTTCACTTACAGAAAAATACCAAAGTGCATCTCAGAATTGAAGTGTAGTCCCTAAGTCCTAACATGGAAAAATATGCACATTTATGTGTGAAGTTCTTCTGAATAAAAGGAGATAGAAGAAGCTAATCTTCCTCATGTTTTAAGAGGACATGATTGTCTTGCTTATGGCAAATAAGAATATCAGATCACAACATAAATAAGTAAAAGGAACAACCAAGCTCACACAAAAAGACTGATAAGTTAGAACCTACATGAACCATTACCTGAAGATGATTCATCATATCCATTAATGTGCTGCTGATGTCAACAGCTGCCTGCCTCGAGGCCTATAGGTAGGTTAGTTTTGTCAAATTGACATATCTCAGTGACTCCAGATGATAATACTGGGTAGTAAATGCGAGCACACTATACCTTGGTTATATCATTTACTCTATTCACACGAGCTGTTAACTTTTCATCATCCCGCTTCCGTTCAACCCAATTAAGCCGCCGCTGAGGCCTTCGATGCTGGACTCTCCGGAAACATGTTGGTTATAATAGTCTTTGCTCTTCCATTGGTTATTAACCACTTTTTTAACAGAAAAGAAGGGAAATGTGCTAGTTTCATTTCACGACAGATTTACCTTATCTGAACAATCTGGCAAATGCTGCAATGTCTGATCGATTTCCATTGTTATTCGCTGCCGAGTCACCTCATCTGGAAATGGCAGACGCTGCAAGAGGTCCTTGGCTACCATGGCCAGAAGTTGTGGAGTTTCCTACAGAGAATTTAGCAATCTGTAAATAATAAATAATAATCAATACTGGTTAAGGCTAATGGTACTTTAGGCAACTTACCAATGAGTTCTGCTCCAACTCATAGACATTTTTCCACATATCCTCTACACTGCAAACGTCACGCTCCCACGCCTCCCATTTCTTCAATCCCCAGCCACCCTGCTGCTTTGATCCATGCACGATACGAACCTTCTTGTATGCATCTAATCTTACAAGTGACTTCACACATATAAAGGATTGCACGTTGTCTGGTTTGTGGGGGCTGAAATTCAGCAGCTTCACCCTTTTGCTTAACTTAGTCCCGCATCCCTCGCCAAACAACTCATACGAATATAGATCACCTAAAATAGACTGCATCATGATCTTATCCCGGTGAACAAAATGTGGACCTGGAAGGTAATTATGTGTGTACGGAAGGCTATACATCTGGCTCCACCTTGACTCTAGTTTGCTACACAATGTCCAGATCTGCAGCTTACCAGAAAGCATTCTGGGCCGGTGCTGGTGGACTTCAGCAGTCGCTATACATACCTTCCCATTTATCTCTGTGATCCAGTACCGACGATAACCGCCAAGTGTAGAATCTGGCAGCTGTATCCGTGCAAAACTTTCTTCACTTAGATCAAAAGTTATAACAGCATGCTTCCAGCTAGCTCCGGCGTCTTCAGTTAGCCAAAACATTGCTCCATCAACATTCACTACACCAGAGTTCTTCACACAGCTTAAGCTTAGATCTTCAGAACTTCCAACATCTCTCCATTTGTCACTCCCAAGCGTGTAAACTTGAATGACATTAAAGGTGCCTTGAGAATTGTTTTGATGCTCACCAAGAAAGTGTGTAACTTTGTACTCTTTTGTGACGGGGTGAAATCCAAAACGGTAGAAAGAGAAGTGATCACCCTTCAAATTTTTTATAGGTTTGTCAAGATGCAGACATTCACCGGTTGTAAGGTTAGCAATCTTGATTGTTGATGCCTTTGTGTATAAGCAGAGAAGCCCATTGCATGAGCCGCAAAGAAAATCATCCGGCCCAATCACTGGCACGGCCACTGTTGACTGTGACCAGCCTTCATCAAAGACAATAGCATCACTAGGGTAGGGCTTGCCATGAACCGACTCTTGAGGAAAGAATAGGAGGGCACAACAGGGAGCTTGCTCAAGGTGTGCTGTGACGAACTGGGGGTCTCGGATGACTTTGTGCCACTGCTTGCAGACTTCAGTGCATCTCAGCAAAGTGCTCACTGAAAGCCTCAAAAATATCCGCTCAATGAGGTCACGTGGAAGGCAGTTTATGATGCATTCCTCCTCTTTCTTCTTCTTTGAGTTGGTCTCCTCAGAAGCCATAGGAACCAATCTGGCAGGCCTGCGGACGCAGCAGCGCTACCAAGTCCTTCTGGATAGGTTTCTGCCCAGAGAATATCACTATATCAGATTATCAGATACTGCACAGAAATTACAAATGAGAACCCAAGACGAATAATGAGTGACTCGTACAGACATAGAATACCGCACAGAGATTATTTTCAGATTAATTATCATACTAGCACAGAAGGTACCATCCTAGTAGTTTACACTCATTTCCAAGATTATTGTCTAACATCTACCAAACAATGAGACAAGGAAGAATCACAGGGCTCTAAAAGTTTGACTACTTCAAATTGTAACTCTCTCTTAAGTACCAAAATATTCTCCATGCATTAAAAAGTTGTTACCACATTAGTATCTCCCCTTCATATAGGGAAGTACCGTGACCCTGGGTGCCTGCCCAGGCTCTGGCGCAAGGGTGCCAAGCCGGCAAAGCGAGCGGTGGACGCGATGTCCAACTCGGATGCCGAGGGAGGTCCAAAGTGCAGAGTAGGTGGCAGTCTGCCAGACAAGCATGGAGATCGGAGGCTGCAGATCAAATATGCAACTGCTAAACCAGGCCCGGGGGCCTATGTGATTATGCCTATAGTAAAAACTACCGCTGGAGAAGGGCACTTGGCCAAGTGCAGCATATAGGTTCAAAAGTCCTCGTACCATGGTGGCTTTCGGATGTGCACTGGGAAAGTGATAGGATGGGGGGACCTGGTCAGGGCTTTGGGTTATGATATCCATTATCTATCCCAATCCCTTGTTCGGGAAAACAAATAGAAAAGGAAGAGCTCCCTTTCTCCTCATCCTCCCGCTTCCGCCATTCTTCCTCCCGCCGCCCATACTCATCCTCCGGGGGCGGCGGCATCTGTGGCCACACCCAAGATGGAGAGAGATATCTTCTTGAGCCCAGCCATGCTCCATATCTGCCTTTCTCTTCAATGTACGAAGAAAGCTTCATAAATCAACCATTCCTTAAACGCCCAACCGAAAAGAAACCATTCCACAGACAAACCAGAGTACCCTGTACTAGGTATCTCCACACATCTACACATTTCCCAGACGCGTCAACTTCAAGTCAAACACAACAACACGTGTGCGCTCCGTCTCGTGCGCCAAACCCTAAACTAACGAACTCAAAACAGAAACCCTAGCCGGCAGCTGCCGTCACGGATCGGGAAGAAGAATGCGAGAAAGAGCGTCGCGAGGGATACACGGATTCGACGAGCAAAAGAGGAAAACGCAGGGGGCTCACTTACCGGCGCAATCGCCTCAGACCTGCAACCGCCGCCATGGCGAGAGCCGAGAGAACTCCATTTCCCAGCCAGACACAAGGTTCGCGTGTTGGTTCGATGAATTTCTGCTCCTCCTGTGTGGATTCCAGAAGAAGGGTAAGGCTATCGAACACAGAGGCCCAGTGAGGCCCAACTAGCCCAGCTGCGTGGTCCCACTTTTACCTCAGTTCATCCATTCACTTCTGGAATTGCGTTTTGGCTGCGAGCTTCTGGATTCTAACCTGCATGACTGCGACTACGTATTCTGGAGTAACTTTTTGTTTCTCAATCCAGAAAAATTAACCAAAAAAGTGTATAGCATTTTGCGTTCAGAAATAGTATGTGCAAACGTTAAAAGCAGAAAAACAAAAATCGCAGTAGCACCGAAAAGCAGCTGAACCTTCGACAGGTGTGAACAATATTAATGTGAAAATTACACCAGAAATTTTGTTTCAGGATTCAAGCGTGACAATCTTCCTAAGTTACAGACTATGCTCAGTGGTCACTAACTCAGTACATATGCTGACAAACCTTTTTTTAAGAGAGAAAGAGAGACAGAGACAGAGAGAGAGAGAGACGGGAATGAGAACTCATCAGCCTGTTTCATCACAGTGTAAGCTAGGTCGTTTGCTTACCTCCTCTCACCTTCTCTGCAACCATTGCGACCTGAGCTTTCCATTCCATCTCAAGTATCTCCTTCATCAAACCCCACGCTGAGACTTGCGTGCAAGCATGCAGCGAGCTTCCTACAAATTCAGCTGGCACTACCCCTCCTTTAGTTCTTTACGCTTAGAAACGAGGTGTCCTCGTTCATCTACCCCACTGACGGACAACACATTTTGTGTCCAACTCCATCTCTCTTTTCTTCAGTGTCATTCGTAATGGGAGGCTAAAATGTGCATAGGAAAAAAAATTATCTTCCCCGGACCCCGGGCAACTCATGCTCCAAATCTTTTTCCAACACTCTTGAATCCTTATCAATCAAAGCCCCCGGTGAAGATGAATGAGCTACATACTTGCTTTTCCTTCTTCTTTTTTCAAACTCCTCCTGAACTATGTAAGCTGATTTCATCAAGAAAAGACCCCATAGCACCAGGCTGCCACATCATCCATCTCCATATGAACTGGGATTAATAAGATTCATTCACATCTTTAGTGTCTCGTTCCAATTGCCTGTGCATGGGTCAATCATCTCAATTACTCAGTTCATGAGATTTGCACCCCTTGGCGTGGATGGCAAGTCCACTCTCTACGAAACCAGGGATCATTCCATAAGTGTGCGATCCCCATTACCCACTCTCCATATTAAACCATTCGTCAGTACTTGCTGCCAAAACTTCAGAGTGCAAGAGCCTCGTAGAAACTAATTTGAAGCAACTGAAGGAGCAAGAGGCACAGGCGGTGCACGAACAATGGCTGCTCTGGCATAAATGCTCAAGGGAGCAAGTGTCTCCTTGTAGAAATAGGACTGCGTCTCATAGAATCTGTAGTCACCAAGGTGCAAAAGCTTCACCTCCTCTCCATGCTCAATCTGCACAGTCTTGCCTCGCAAATCATGGTACCACACATTACTGTCACGGTCCTGCAGTATGATCTTCTCCCTGTGGATGAAGCATGGCTGAGGAACATACCGGGATAGAGATGGTGACTGGATGCTATATTTCAGGAACCACTTGTCACTTTCAAGAGCCCAAATGTCAGTCCTACCTGAAAGCTCTGCGTTGTATCGGCGCCACCTCGGAGCATGGCTTTGGTATGACATAGTCACTACACACACCTTGTCATCTATCTCAGTCATATAGTAAGCAACTTTGGGGGTGGCACAAGAGGCTGTCTCTTTCACTTCCAATGCTGGAAGTTGAATCAATGCAAACATTTCTTCCCTGAGATCAAATGATACAACTGCCATGCCGCAGCTTGTTCCTTCATCTTCTGTTAGCCAATACATCTCTCCATCCACATTTACAACTCCAAGATGCACCATGCAGCATGGTATAGGAGCTTTGATAGCTCTCCATTTGTCTTCACCAAGGGTGTACACTTGAATGATGTCAAAATGGAAAGGCTGTCCTGATTTATAGCGTTGGGGCTCACGGAGAAAGTGCACAAGCTTGTATTCTCCAGTAATCGGATGAAATCCAAAGCTGTATAGATAGTGGAAGTCATGCAACAATATCCCATCAGGTTTCAAGAGATGCAGGCATTGACCTGTTGCAGGGTTAGATATCTTGAGTGTGTATGTCTTGTAGAAGCAAAGCAAGCCATTGCATGATGCAAAGAGGTGATCATCAGGGTCCATATGTGATGCAGCCCATGTTGATGGAGACCACTTTTCATCAATGACCGTTGCATGGCATGGTTTGGCAATCTTGGGATGGAGGGATGCAGATATACTCAATTTAGGCAAGTAAAGGAGGAGGTGCTTGGGTGCACGATAGGCATGCTCTTTGATGAAGCGAGGGACGCTGATCATGTTCCACCATTGCTTGCAGACTCGACGTAGCCTCAGTAGAGAGCTTACGGGAAGCCTGAGAAGTATCCCCTCAATGATATCTGGTGGGAGCCTTGTGATGGGATTCTCTCCTGAAAGTGAAGCTGTGTGTTCTTCAATCTCCATTGCAAGCACATTCCACCAACACAAACCTGTAAAACCCAGCAAAAAGATAAGGATTACAACGAGAAGGCAACAGACCATATGAAGATATGAATAGATGCTCAGGGAGATACAGGAGCCACTTCACAAATGGAGTCAACAATGCAATCGCTTGAGACACTTAACAAAAGGGGAAATAAAAGAAGTTGTTTTTCTGCAAGATGTTTTATCTTTACTGAAAGGTGAAGATAGATTGATAGATGGTTACTTGTAGCTAACCCCTCACCCCCACAAGCATATAACAATGTTCGGGTTTGGCCATTCTGCTACATAAGTATCTGTGAGTTTTCTTTGGTACTGCTGTTTAAACTTAATATGCTTCAGCCTTCAATATTCCTTTCAAAGGAACCACCTCATCTTTCACGTGTCATTTTGGGCATCAACAGGGTCTCCAACATGACCCTCTGCCTGTTACTTTTCCAGCTGCAAGTATTTGACAGTAAAATTTGTAACAACTTAGCAACACGAAAGTACTTTTCGTGATAAATATAACATAACTTTGTGTGAATCTAAACGTTTCCAAAATTTTAGTCGAAGTTCTAAAAGTCTGAGTACACAAGTTTTGTAGGTGTCAATTGTCATCTAAGAAAAATGAAAGTAACGATTGCAGTGACTGCAACTATATGCCTTTTTACACCTAAAGTAGCCCACTAGCCCTGAGCAATTGACAATTTCAGTGAGTTAGTAAGTAGTGTAAATGTGCAGTTCTGAAGAGTGGAGATTAAACAATTAGGAATTCGCAGCATTCCAAAACAGGAACAGCCTGTTTTTTGAGGTGAACAGGAACAGCCTGTTGATGAAAAAATCGCCATCTCTAGTAGATGCCGCAGCAACTGAAGTAAAGCACATAACATTGTAATGCTATAGCTGTGAACCAGATGAGGTGTGCTGGCATCATCTAAGTTTTTCTATATATAGTCTGGCCGTGCTCTTTCCCATCATAGGCAAACTTCCAAATTATCTGTTCTGAATATGACGTGAAAACCATTATGCCATAGATGAAGTCAAGACAGCATGCACTTATTCAATTAAGAACCTATCAATTCTAGACACTAGACAGAACCCAGGCTTGACATTCATACAGAACATGGAAAAATTCACAAGCACCCAAATCAGTTTTTCCCCACAAACTCAAACTTATTGTCCTCTCCAACTTTGCACAGACTCCTGAGAACAACGCCTTTGTGCTTCCATTCTCAAGCTAAACATGATACTAAAAATGGCAGTACAAAGCGGCAGCCACAATTGCCCGAGCGAAACTAACTAGAAACCCCGCAATCACCAACGCATCACCAATTCGACGCTCGGTAAGTTACAGCAGTCTGCAGTCCCTCCAGTTCTCACAACATGACAAGAGCATTTAGTAAATCCTAATCTGGCTCGCTACGCCTGACCCAGCACGGCGTCAGAAAGCAGGATTTCACGAACGGAACAATAGATGCCGCGCGATAACCAGCTGATGCAGAGCATAGGGCGCAGCAACGGGGACAGAAAGGATCCGGGGACCTGAGGAGGGCTTACAGGGAAAGCCTGCCTTGGCCGGAGAAGCCACCAACGGGGCGGCGTGAGCAGTGAGCCAGTGAGCTCTGAGCTCCTCCTTCCCCACGCCGGCCAACGCGCGTGCGGTTGTAGCGGCTCCTGGCGATATCCTCCCATCCCGTCCGGGTCGACCAAGCATTTCTCCCTACCGCACCGCACCCGCTCGCTCACTCGGCCCGCAAGGCCCACGTACCCGGCCTACGTTTTCGGCCCCGTTCGGTCGCGAGCGCGCGCAAAGGCTGACGCGGACCGACAGCTCGGACTAGCGGTGGGCCGCCACCACGTTTGGCTGGGCGCGAGCGGTGGGCATGGTGCGCACAGGCGCAACCCAGGTACACAGCTCCGGGACAAGAACACGCACCAGGCACCACCCCCCGGTCCACGGCACCACGACGCGGCCACGTGACCCTGGCCCGAGGTGAGGGAGGGGCCGGGCCGTCGCAGTCCCTGTTCTGGAGCTGGGTGCACCGAACCGCTCGGGCGGCGCAGGAAAGCAACGCCGCCGCGCGCGCGCCGGCGGCTGGGCTGCCTCTTTGGGCCCACGCGTAATCCCGTGTCGTCGCGGGCCCGGTGTGACCGGTGCTCATTTTGTCACGTGCGGTGCGTGCTTTCGTAGTCGTCAAAATGGACGCAATTCGTTTTGATCTCCTCGGAGTCGGAGCCGCAAAGTAGGCTGAGCTGATAAGCCATGGTCAAAAATATTATTAACTAATTTGTTACGAGAGAAAAATATTATTCGTTGGTTAAAAAAGTACGGTTTATAAATTAAGTGAACCTACGCGTACACGTGTGCTGCTATGTTACATTACATCCTTCATCGAAGGCACTGGAACAATCTGGATTCTACGGTATTTGGATTAGTTTACAGGTGTGGCCACGTGAGTTGGGGGTATTTTGATGCGTCTTCCGTGGTCTATGATGATGATGATATACGAATGGACTGCTTAATTGTTGTAACTTGTCCAGTTCTAGGAGTATTTTCTGTGATGAATCATCAATTCCACTAAACCATTGAAGCACTTCAACAATATTAATCACAATCGTTGATGTCGCCGGTCATTACATTGGCAAGAACCTAAGCACCGAATCCTGTAATTGAACAATCGAGCCAGGAGTAACCATGGTACATGCTTACTGCTTAGTACTCCGTTACGAGAACGGGTCTTGTTATATCAACCTTATATATAGAGCTCCTCTTAAACTCTTTCTTTCTTTCATAAGGGCTAGAGGAACACACTCATTCCGGTCCTGTTCGGCTGCTTAGTTTGGAAGCAACTGATGCTGTGCGCGGTTGGTAAGCCCCGTTCGGCTTGCTGAAACTTGACTGAAATTAGCTGAAAAATAATGTTCTAGTTGAAATGGTGTAAGAGAAAAATATTGTTCCGACTGAAAAAAGAAGCCGAATAAACCGAATTTAAGATAAGCCGAACGGGCCTATCGTAAACGTTGTAGCAACACGGGAATTTGCAGTGGCAGCGCTGTAAGAACCAGCGGCCGAACAGGTCGGTGTTAAGCTTTAAAACATGTGTAATATGGGATAGGCGCTTTAGTATCAAAGCACTTTAATATTGTACGCTTCTAGATCTCAGAGCACTCATAAAAGCGAAAACATAGTACCAAAGCTTCAGCTCTATTACACTTATCATATTTTTAGGCTCTACCGTCGAGAGATGTTTAAAAAAGGTATGTATTACCAAGATTTAAACTCTACCTAATGCACAATATTTCGACATAGTATTAAAGAAAATCAATGTAGAACTTTGATACATACAACATGCTTTTATGCTTTATCACTTAAAGCACTTAAGTATAAAAGCGAAGACGTAGCACCAACATTCGAACTCTACTGCATGCATCATGTTTTACACCGAAGCATCGGTTAGAGTGAAAACAGTAGCACCAAGTTGTAAACTTGTATGCAACATGTTTTTATGCTCTAGTCATAAAAGTGTAAATAAAAAAGTAGAATGAATAAAAAATTCCCAGCGCACCCACCCAAAAGTGGTAGTCTCAACAAAATACAACACTCCACGTGTGTGTATATATATATTGCATTTTATATACTTTCGGGAGTAGTTACTCCCATAATTAATAAATCACGTTGTGTATATGTACATACTCATTTATCAGTTTGAGTATGTTGACATACTAATATTAAGATACTCCAGATCTTTACTATGTGAAAAAAAATCAAGAGAGCACATATTTTTTAATATATTATATAATACTATGATAGTAGCATATAAAATAAGTATAACAATATACTCTAAATATACATACATACTTGTCATGCATAGTACCCTAGATAGTCTAGTATAATGATATACTCCATCTACATACACTTCGTCGGGCCATATATGCCCTAAATCTATAGATATACACATGGGAGTAACTACTCCCTGCGAGTAGAAAATAATTTCCATATATATATATATATATATATATATATATATATATATATATATATATATATATATATATATATATATATATATATATATATATATATATATATAATACTAGACCATTTAGGTACTATGTATGACAAGTATGTATGTATATTTAGAGTATATGGTTATACTTATTTTATATGCTACTATCATAGTATTATATAATATATTAAAAAATATATGCTATCTTGATTTTTTTCACATAGTAAAGATCTAGAGTATCTTAATATTAGTATGTCAACATACTATAACTGATAAATGAGTATGTACATATACGCAACGTGATTTATTAATTATGGGAGTAACTACTCCCGAAAGTATATAAAATACAATATATATATATATATATATAACACTGGGGTTAAGAATGTTAATCCCAATCGCAAACAACAACTCTCACTTTATTTCGATCCCCCTTATTGTCCTTATATTTTGAAGCGTCAATTCATCCAACTTCTGCTTTGTGTCAGATGAAACTGTGAGCATGTCTTGTTCTTTTTTGGCTACAATGTGCGCTAGAATGAAAGCTCAAGCTTTTGTTTCAAATGACAATATGCTTCTCCACGAAACCACTGTCTATGTTGATTTGGACGCTCCGAAAGGACGTGGAGGATGAGAGGAAGGACGTGGAGGATGAACCTCCCATCTAGGCTATTGCGTTGGGAAGCCTTAAGTGAACACTGAACACTACTTTACACGTCATACTTTAACACATTAGTGCAAAAAGGATCTTGTCTAATAAAGTAACATTGAAGTCTTGTTATACTTTTTTAAAAGGAATTGTGAGCCTTTCTTGTTCTTTGGCTACTTCTTTTGGCTATAAGGCACGCTAGAATGGAAGCCCAAGCTTTTGTTTCAAATGAAGTGTTGGTACCTCCACGTGACAATATGCTCCTCCACGAAACCACTGCCTATGTTGATTTGGATGAGGATGAGAGGGAGGGCGTGGAGGATGAAACTCCCATCTAGTCTGTCGCATTGGGAAACCTTAAGTGAACACTACTTTACGCGTCATACTTTTACACGTTATACACATGGGAGTAACTACTCCCTGCGAGTAGGAAATAATTTCCATATATATATATATCATACTAGACCATCTAGGGTACTATGTATGACAAGTATGTATGTATACTTAGAGTATATGGTTATACTTATTTTATATGCTACTATCATAGTATTATATAATATATTAAAAAATATGTGCTATCTTGATTTTTTTTCACATAGTAAAGATCTATAGTATCTTAATATTAGTATGTCAAAATACTATAACTGATAAATGAGTATGTACATATACACAAATTTATTAATTATGGGAGTAACTACTCCCGGAAGTATATAAAATGCAATATATATATATATATATATATATATATCACACACACACACTGGGGTTAAGAATGTTAATCCCAATCGCAAACAACAACTCTCACTTTATTTCGATCTCCCTTATTGTCCTTATATTTTGAAGCGTCAATTCATCCAACTTCTGCTTTGTGTCAGATGAAATTGTGAGCATGTATTGTTCTTTTCGGCTACAATGTGCGCTAGAATGAAAGCTCAAGCTTTTGTTTCAAATGACAATATGCTTCTCCACGAAACCACTGTCTATGTTGATTTGGACGCTCCGAAAGGACGTGGAGGATGAGAGGAAGGACGTGGAGGATGAACCTCCCATCTAGGCTATCGCGTTGGGAAGCCTTAAGTGAACACTGAACACTACTTTACACGTCATACTTTAACACATTAGTGCAAAAAGGATCTTGTCTAATAAAGTACCATTGAAGTCTTGTTATACTTTTTTAAAAGGAATTGTGAGCCTTTCTTGTTCTTTGGCTACTTCTTTCAGCTATAAGGCACGCTAGAATGGAAGCCCAAGCTTTTGTTTCAAATGAAGTGTTGGTACCTCCACGTGACAATATGCTCCTCCACGAAACCACTGCCTATGTTGATTTGGATGAGGATGAGAGGGAGGGCGTGGAGGATGAAACTCCCATCTAGTCTGTCGCATTGGGAAACCTTAAGTGAACACTACTTTACGCGTCATACTTTTACACATTAGCATCAAAATGTTTTTGTCTAATAAAGTAATGTTCAAGTCTTGTTATACTTTTTTTAAAAGGAATTGTGAGCATTTCTTGTTCTTTCGGCTACAAGGCACGCTAGAATGAAAGCCTAAGCTTTTGTTTCAAATGAAGTGCTGGCACATCCGCATGACAATATGCTCCTCCACGAAACTATAGTCTACGTTGATTTGGATGCATGGGAAGGATGTGGAGGATGAGAGGAAGGATGTGGAGGATGAAACTCCCATTTAGGTTGTCGCGTTGGGAAGCCTGAAGTGAACACTACTTTACACGTCATATTTTACACGTTAGCATCAAAAGATATTTGTCTAATAAATTAATAGTCAAGTCTTGTTATACTTTTTTTTAATAGCCATTGGCAGGAAATATGTCGGGCATATATCAATAGAGAAGAGTAGTCTTTTATACGTTTTCACATATATGCAAGTGTTTTTACAGTTTAGCCCCCAAAGCATCTGTTTGAAATGAGTAGATATTCAACGCGGAATAAGGAAAAGAGGCACCAAGATTTGAGCTTGACGCACGCATCATGTTTTAACCGTATGGCACTGAAAGTAGTATTTGCATAAAATGAAAGGGTAGCACAAAAACTCAGTAGGGACGCATCGTGTCCTTTTGGTTTATCACCATTCACCACATACATCGTGATCTACTTTGCCGTGTAGACCACGGCCTCGTTTAGATTGCAAATTTTTACAATCTGGACACTGTAGCATGTTTCGTTTGTATTTGACAAACTTTGTCTGATCATGGACTAACTAGGCTCAAAAGATTCGTCTCGTGATTTACAACCAAACTGTGTAATTAGTTATTTTTTTTACCTACATTTAATGCTCCATGCATGCGCCCAAAAATTAATGTGATGGAGAGAGAGTAAAAAAACTTGGAATTTTGAGGCAATCTAAACAAGGCGCACATGTAGATCTCTGCTTCCTTAATTGAACTTGAGAGCTTCCAATTTTCTTTCTTTCTTTTCCGAAGAAGATCGCAGCATCTAGACTACTCTCGAGTGTGCCGAAGCAGTGGAGTAGACTAGCCACTCACTACTCGCCAATCAGAGGCACGGATAAAAGAGCCACGGGTACGCAAAGGACCCAGCACGTTGGGCGGAAAGTAGAGCGAGCGCCGTCGTCTCGTCATCGGGTTCCTTCCAGGTGTGCTGCGTGGAGGAGCACCGCCCACGTCGTTGACATCACCGCGCGTACCGGTCGTCCACACTCCACACCCACACGGCCAGCCGAGATCGCCGGCCAAATCTCTCGCTTAACCAAAGTCATTAATCGCCAGAAGCATCATCCCAATCCATCCGCCCTTAATCTAATCCCATCAGTCCGCCGCAGCTCACTAAACTAATCCAGCCAGCAGCCACCGGCCACCGCTCGCCGCCGTTCCGTTCACACCGCCACGCGGGAGTTTGTTCGTTAGCCCGCGTGGCGCATCGGGCGACAGGCGCTGATCGCTCTGCGCTTCCGTCGCATGTGCCCGGGCGGTGGCTAGCGGGGGTCGCGTCGCGTGCGCTGCCCGGCAGGCGGTAGCTAACGAAACGAGGCATGAAACCTGATGGATGGATGGATTTCCCGGGATCGGCCACGGAATCGCGCGTCGCTTGGTCGTGTCCCCGTGGTGTCTGAGTGGACGTTTGTCGGGGAGACGGCGACGCTTCCAACCAAGTTGGTGCCGCCCCGATCGCGACCCCTCGCTGGCTGCGGACGTGCGCGCGTCGTGTCTGCGTGCTTTGTCCGCGGTCATCTCGTCCTCTCGCTTCTACGCCAAGCTGTGTTGCGTTTTCCAACCTGTTTCCACGTTTCGGATGCTCCGTAAGTATACGTACGTATAAGCTACTGTAGTAATTTTGGTGTGGGACAGTATGACTGTGCGAGTAACACGAAGGCCCAGGTTTCTCTTGCTACACAGGCTGCGAAGATGGTTCGAGATCCGTATTGTTGTGACGTTCAAACAGTTGCGATGGTCGATGCGTAGCGGGTTTCCGGCGGACACTGTCTTGTGACGATTCACTGTGCTCTTCGTACTAGCTCGCCAGACCGGTTTGGATCGGCATGCGCCGTGTTCGGCTGGGGCTGGCTGGTTGGCCAGCCTTTTCATATGAATACTATTTATATAAACCAGCCAATAATACTTCTCTCATATATAAACGAATCAACAATAATATAAATCAACCCACCAAACATGCTGCTGAATAATTGGATTCCCTGCGCTGCGCCTCGCAAACCGCACAAATTATTGGGCGCCACGGCCCAAAGCGGCGGGCATTATTGGCCGCCACGAACCTACGCATGTGGCATGTCTCCCGCCGATCGGACGGCCGGGCCGGATCCAACGGCAGAGGAAGGAGGGGGGCATCAGCGGTCAGCGGCTAGCGGCCCACCGAACAAGATAGAGCCAGCCGCAGCTATAAATGCACGCAGCCCCTCTCCCCCTCGCTGTGTGTGTCCATTCCGCTGCCACTCCCGCCGTCCACCCCGGAAGAATCGGAAATTACAACCCGGTCCACGGGTCGGATCCCCCCACCCAAATCTAACTAACCTTCTCGAGCTCGCTCGTCGGCGATGGGGATCTCGAGCATGCCGGAGCCGCGGGACAGCCTGCTGTGGTACCTGGTGTACAACACGGTGATCTCGATCACGGCGCTGGCGGCGCTGGTGCGCAAGGCGCTGGTGTTCCTGGACCTCCAGGCCCCCGCGCTGCCAGTCAGCGGGGACGACGCCGCCGGGGGCCGCCTCGTGGCGTCGGGGCCCGGCCTGCGCCTGTGCCTGGCGGACCGGTTCCTGAGGGCGTTCCGCCCGGCGCTCTACGGGGTGCTGGTGTCGACGTCGACGACGTGCAGCGCGGCGGAGGCGGACGGCGACGACTGCAGCGTGTGCCTGTCCGGGTTCGTGGCGAAGGCCGTGGTGAACCGCCTCCCCTGCGGCCACCTCTTCCACCGCGCCTGCCTCGAGACCTGGCTCCGGTACGAGCGCGCCACGTGCCCGCTCTGCCGCGCCAACGTGCCCCTCCCACCCGAAGAGACGCCCGTGCTCCGCTACCCGGAGTTCGAGTGATCCGGTCAACCGACCGGCCGCCCTTCCCCCGGCGAGCGGTGACCCCCGCCGGGCGGGGCTCGGGCTCGGGTCGGCCGTCGCGCGCCTCGGCTGTGTGCTGCAAGCTCCGTGTGGCCTTCCGTGTGTGTGCGCGTAGCAAAAAAAAGTATAGAAGCAGTAGTAGTAGAGTTGCTGTTGCTTTCCCTTTCCCTTCTCGTTTTGTGTTTTTTCCTTGTTTTTATTTTTCCGTTCTCTTGTTGTTTCCGTGCTGTCGCTGTAGCGTGTAAATACTGCAGTTCGCACTTCGCAGCAGAGAGTAGAGTGCTCCCGTGGCTGTGCTGATGGTGTAGCACTTTTTACGAGCTCAGCTCGTGTACATTGCATGCTTCAATTCAATTCCCCAACTGGCAAAATATCGAGGATAATCACCGGAATTTGGTTTTTTTGCTTAGTGCTTATATACAAGTTCCGGCGTGAAACTGGACTGAACTCTGCAGAATTCATTATTAAAAAAAACTGCAGATTTCATCAGGTATAAACACAAAAGGAAGGGACGGGCTTCTTTTACGGGTGATCCGATTCGTTGTGCGCGAGAAGGGAGGGGGACAGCGCGCTGAAAGGCACGGAAGGTTGGGCGTTTGTTTAGGCAGGGAGCCAGGGACAGGTCACATGGACGACGGAGTGGTGGAGTGCGTGCGCGGGCCCCGCGTCGCCGATGGCACATGCGGTCCTCCTCCCCGAAAGGAACCTCGCGTCGCAACCCGCAAGCGTGCATGCACCAGGAAGGGATCAAGATCATCTCCCTGCACTGCACGTCTGCACCGGAAGGGATGATGAACCCCCGGAAAGAGATGAGTCACGAGTCACACAGTAGTACACGCGGTACAGGAAGCAAGCACCACCGGCCCACCGCTAGAGCTAATCGGCCTAATGCGTCGGCTGGATCAGTGGTGATGGGAGGAAGGCGCAGACGCGCAGTAGCCGCCGGTTCTCACCGCAGCACTGATTCATCACGGCAGGGGGTGGGTTTTGTAGCTTCGCGCGAGGATTTTGCTCCGGGGTGACGTGCGGTACGCCGAGTGAGTGAGCACAGCCGCACAGGTCCTTGTCGCTCGCACGCACACCACCGTCCAACACCAAGCAGTACGCGAGAGTGTGCGAGCAAGTTTGTTGCGACGTCGGCTTCAGACCGGACGCTGCGTTGTTCAGGCAGGCATCACGCATCACCGCCTGATGGCTTCTCCATCCAGCGTCATCTGGTAAGCTTTGGCCGGTTGGCCTCGTCGTCTAGGCGATCCGACGAAGCAAACAAACGCGCGTTTCGCCTGTTTGCCTGTCTGGAGTGTAGACACGCCACACGCAGTCACACGCACAATAACCAGCTGGAGATAAACGTGGTTCCAATTGAACGGGCAGCTGGCCGCGGAGCAGGAGCGCACGGGGCTCCCCATCTCCTGTCTCGCGTCGACACGACAGACGACACCGCTTGTGTGGTGGTAACCGATCGTCTGCTTGCTCATAGTACATATACTGCGGCGAGCGCGCGTCTCCACTGACAGTGGGAACATGGCCACATGCACAATTGGTGCTGTTGGTGCCCTTGTCGACCAGGGTTGGAAAAACACCGTTACGGCCGCACCACACGGCGGTGGGGGTTTCTGCTTCGACCACAAGAAGCCTCGTAGCCATGGACAAGGCTGCTGACTGAGAGAGATGCAAAGGTTCCAGCTTCGCGGAAAAGTTGTTTGCCCAGTCATCTGATCCGCAGTGGCTGCCGAAGCGGTTCCGGCTTCTCTGGATACGACACGCCATGGCAGACAGGCGGTTGCGCAGCGCACATGAACTTCTGTTTAGGATAAGGATAGGAGGGCCATACACATCATCGGCTTGGTGGACATGACGGATTGACGGGTACTCGTAGACGATAAAAAGGATCAAATCATCAAAGGATGGTGACTCGCGTCAGGCGGTCAGGCTATATCGCGCCGAGCCGAGGCCGAGATGATCTGGCCTGCCAGTCCCATATATTCACTCGGCGCGGATGATGATCGCCTGATCGGCCACCGCCGAGTGTCGCCGGGCGAAGCTGAAACGCGAAAAGGAAGAAATTAAAGGGTCATCAACTGGTTTTGCTGCACGTTCCAATCGGATCCACGTAGGGAGGCGGCCAGGCGGGCGATGAGTACGATGCGTCCGTGGATAAAATCCCAATGCTCTTTTTAGATGCACATATATCTATACCATATACTCTAACACATATGGACACATGTGCATCTAAATAAGGCCTACGGTCCGTGTGGTGTTTTCTTACGCCACATGCGTCTGTAAATTTAGTTTCGTATATACCCAGTCAATAGAGTCATGTGTCACACATACATTTCCTACCCATGCTCGTTCTACTCGTACCCGCTCCTTAATCTCATATGTGAGCCATTATTGTCTGGCATACAAAGGCAAGTCATCAAGATCAGGGTTCCACTCACTCGTTCACACATGACCACCCATCTCATCTTATTGTCCTGCACCCCCCTGCCATCCGGGCCCACCCCGCCACTATGTGCCTCCTAGCCGCCACCTTGCAACTCCCAAGTAAATGTCGCTCCTCCACAGGAGCACGACTGCACGGACGAGTGGGTCCTTATTCGTATCATCATCCTAGCGTCGGCCACCTTCCAGATGGTCTTAGCCATCGGCAGCCTCTTAGGTCTAGCCATCGGCTGCACCTCCTAGGTGCCTGCTCGCATCCTGCCCCAGTCTTCCATGTTCGAATGGACGAAAGGGTGCATACACCACATTCTCACTCGTCCAGGTCACGACAAATTGCACTCATGGAGGAGCTACGCTGCAGCTGACCGGAAAATGTAGAGAGTTAACGCGTAGATGGTTGTACCCGCGGGTGGTAGCACGGGTTTGGCAATTGTGTCACAGGTGCAGGTGTATGGATGCTCTACCCGTGTGGGTAATCTTCCTGTTACCATCCCTAGATCAATGCCTTGCTATGCTTTCCACGATAGAGGCCAAGATGTGCCATTGCTTTGCGCAGCCTGTAAATGAGTCTTAAAGGGTGTTTGATAGGGATTTAGATTCTCCTAAAAACATTTTAGCATGGCAGGCTTCGGGCTTGGGCCGTGCAACGGTGAGTTGAGACTACCATGCTCAGGTCTAGAGCAAAGGTGGCAGATGGTGGAGGAAGAAGCGAGCGGCATGGCAAAGAGAAAAAGGACTAGCGGGAGAACATGGAGGGAGAAGAGGAGTGGCATGATGTAGGGAGAGAAGAGAGTGTCGACAAGACGTGGGGAGGAGAAGAGGTGGCATGGCGTGGACAGAAACAACGGATACGAAGGAGGCACATTGTTGGGTGCTATGAGATGTGCTTAAAGTGTTTGGTGGAGAAAGAGAATGAAAAGAATAGAGGTCGACAAGTGGATCCACCAGCACTATATTAAATAGTGGCAAATGCTTTATCTCACAATTAAATGTCCTCCAACCAAACACAAAACGAAGATGATTTCATTCCATCCCAATCAAATAAGAGATGTGCTCATCCTATCATAGAAAATTAGTATTGAACTGTTCCACTCTAACCTACCTTTAAACAAAGACAATCTATGTTTAAAATGACAAACCAAAAAGAAATGAGGGAATGAAATGTCTTTGGAATGTTTTATTGGGTGATGGCGCACGATTTTTCCAGTGTTGGAAGATTTGCTTGACAAAAATACTATTGAGAAATTAGTTTGTGTGAAAAACTCCAATTTCCTACACCCTACTTTTCAATTAGACCATGATCATTACTTAAAAAGTTGCACCTAATATCTGAATGTAAAGTAGATGTAATCTCATCACATAATTAATTACTGACTCTGTACCAAATTATAGGTTGTTTTAGCTTTTCTAGATATATACAATAACTTTTGCTATGTACCTAAATATATGATATGTAGATGCATAATAAAGTTGTGTATTAAAAAAACAAAATGACATACATAAATTGGAACGGAAGGAGTAAATATAATTGTGGTACGGAGAAAATTGGACAGTACAAACGATGATGTGTGGGACCTACTTGTCAAGACTCAAGAGAACAAACTCGTGTTCTGAGTCTGAGAGAGCTTAGAACATCGCTAATTCAAGAACGCACTTCTCGTCTCTGCATCTACCTTTGCTTGGGCTTCGGTCATCGCAAATTTACATGGGCTACTGCTAATCTCATAAATGTTGGGCTGCTTAAAATCTCGCAGTATGGGAAGTTGGGCCCAAGTTTAGAAAAGCTCCCGGTCCGCCCCCTCGACTGGACGCAACGCAGAAGTCCTCTGATGCACTACATTTTTTCTTCATTCATGTCACTAGGGGAGAGGATCAGAGGAGCAGTAAAGTTTGCTTCTGTGATTGTTTTTCAGGAAAAAAAAAGTTTGATTCGATGACATGACCATGCAGGGCTTAGCTACTCTAACAGATTAACCAAACTGAACACTGATTAAAAAGAAACGTTAACCAAACGGGCCCAATGAGGATCGACGACCTCTGAAGCAACGGCCAGGGCCATCTCGATCAGCATCATTCACATTTGCACTGCCATGATCTCTAGCTGGTGGGACTACTGGCACCGCGTGGCAGCTACGCAAACACCACCATCACATTCCTTCTTCTGTGCTCTGTCTCCCATGACGCCGCCCTGCAGCATGGCCTCGCGACGCCACGGCAGTTCGCCATTTTCGGCAACGCGGCCACATGCATGCAATGCAGGCACGCGCTCGCATCGGAAGGGTGCACAAGGTCAAGGGTCAAGGCCTCAAGGGCGGAGGGCCAGCTTGTCCATCAGTGCTTGCTTGCTGGTTGCTGCACAGGTCTCCTTCTTCTGTGCTGCGCTCTATGGCGTGGCTGCAGCAAGGGCCTCCCCACTCCCCAGTCGCCACGACATGTTGCCATTTTCGGCAGCGGGGTAATTACCCTGAACCCACGCTCGCACACGGCGGGACCGCGGGGGGTGGTGGTTGATTGATGAGGTCTGAGCACTCACG